CAAACGGTGGGTGGCGAAATACCCCAGTAACTGCTGGGTTAAAGTAACTACTTCCATGGCATTTGACATTTGCAATCAATGCAGTCGATTAGTCCCCGGTTGGCTGCGTAATCTGTTGGTAAACTATTTAACGTTTTTGATGTTTCATGGATATTATTAAGGCATATTTGGGGCAAATGCTTTCATTATTTTGGGCAGGACCACGCTGATGCCTTATGGCTATACCTGATCCTAAAAAATGTAAAGCGACCTTGGGCGGCAGACCAGTGTAACACTCGTATGCCGATTAATTATATACGCATACAGAGTGGTCATTTATGATGTGTGGCGCAATCAGTAACATTATTGGATGTCGCGTTTGAGAAATTGTCGAGAAAATTGAGAGGCTCGTAAAAATGCGGTCCTGGCTCGGCGTTTTAAATCGCCTTATACGGTCATCCCCTCCTTTGCGAATGGCATTTTGCTCGAACGCGTCAGGATATTTTTAGCGCTGGTGAATGGCACCACACCGTGGGACAAAACCAGTGAAAATACCCACTGGCAGGGAGGGGAAGGTTTTGAAGAGGGGTGCTCGGGGAGGGGCGGCGGAGGAGAAAGTGACCTGTTATTTTAAAAACACTTTAAAAGGTAGGAAGTGGGTCGACGCCTGATCTGGGCACGGAACTATGGTGAAAGGGTTGAAACGAGCGGGCAGCGGTGTCGTGCGAGCGAAAACACATTGGAGTGCTGGCGCTGGCCCCAGAAAAATGTGTCTGCTTCAGTGATCGCCACTCACCTGGCTTATCTGCCAATGTGAAGCTCACCGAAACTACGAAACTATTGATTGTTCTCTCTCTCTCTCTCTCTCTCTCTCTCTCTCTCTCTCTCTCTCTCTCTCTCTCTCTCTCTCTCTCTCTCTCTCTCTCTCTCTCTCTCTCTCTCTCTCTCTCTCTTTCTCTCTCTTTCTCTCTGTCCTCTCTCTCCTTCTCTCTCTCTCTCTCTCTCTCTCTCTCTTTCTCTCTCTTTCTCTCTCTCTCCTCTCTCTCTCTCTCTCTCTCTCTCTCTCTCTCTCTCTCTCTCTCTCTCTCTCTCTCTCTCTCTCTCTCCCTCTCAATCACTCACTCATCTCCGTTCTTGCCATTTCTATTTCCTTCCCTGTTACACAATGAAATACTTCTTTTCCAAATGGAATATCAACATTTTAATTTATTCTCGCTGCCAAATGCACGAACTCACTGAAGCGTCTGTTTTTCCCGACACCGGCTGTGTGGTAAGTGATCCACGAACTGCAGGACAGCACCACACACCGGTGACGGGTGCACCTGTCCTCAGACGACCAACACGCTGAGAATGCAGTGGCCCTAACGCGCGGCTGAGGACCGTGCAGATCTGCTCGCTAATAGCGTTGCAAGGATAAACCGCCCAAAGATCAGATACCATCCACAGGTAAACATGTGGCGAGGGTGCGTGTTGTTGGTCGGAACTGGAATATACTTCGCAACAAAGGACGTGTCAGTGCGGGAATGCTGGGTTGTTTATGCGAGAAGTCACAGAACCTTTACACGAGTAGAGCTTTTGTCTTTTGAGATTCGTCCCCAGCCCCAATGAGCTCCAGCATTGGGTACGCTTCGTGACCTTTCCTGGCGGTGCCCTCCCCGTTGTCACCTTCCATCAGCTGCCCTCCCCTCCTCCCCCACCCCTCACTTCCCTCTCTACCCGTGGCTAAGCCCTCCTGCCAGCCACCTCTCCCTCTCCCCACCATCCCTCCCCTCCCCTCCCGATCGCTCTCCCCAGTCCCCTCCTACCCTCCCCGGCTGACGGAGTGAGCGATTGTAGCCACAGATAACGTCTCTCTCGCGGCGGCCCGCAGTGCCGCTGGTAAAAAGACCGGCTCCACAGCCGGCAAGGTCAAGTTCAAGGTCAGTGACCGCGGTGGTACGGCGGTGGCGACGGCCCGGCCGGTCAGGCCGCCGGCTGCGGCCGAGACCGGCTCGAACTGTCGTGATTAAATATCTACTGCGGTTGGGAAGGGAATAATTCTCTTCCGAAGTCAAGCTAACTATGTATGTGAGGCTTGGCGTGAATTTTGAAACGACCGAGGTGTAGAAAACGTATGCGAATGCTCACTTCTACAATATTTCCGGATATTGGTAGAGCTACGCGAAAAACACGGTGTGAATAATTTTGGAATTATGTAATTGGTGCAGTTGTTGTACGCGAATATCAGCTGAGCTATAGAAAAGACGTGCTACAGCTTACGCCGCTAGAAACCTTCTACCACTAACGGGCAATATTTATTACGGCAATATTATACAAACATTGTCCATATTTCAATGTTCCATGATGTAATTATGTTGTTCACAAAAAGGTCAAGATAAATATTGACCTGAGATTAAGATCATGACCTGAACGGATGGAGAAAAGGAAAAGGCTGCAATGACAGTCACACGGTGTGACTGTAGCTTTACGATAAGGAAGGAAAAGGCTGCAATGACAGTCACACGGTGTGACTGTAGCTTTACGATAAGGTGTGACTCACACCTTATCGTAAAGCTAATAATTAGCCGGTCCCGGTCCCGTAAAGTAAATTAGCCGGTCCCGTAGCTCAGTTGGTAGAGCGTTGGACTCCGCGTGGTGAGAGCACGCGTTCCCGGTTATAACAGTCCGGGTTCGAAGCGCGACGGGCACTTGACATTAATGAGCCTCCTGCCGACAGGTATGGTTGCGGTTGGTGGTAGGCCGTAGCCAGGCGAAGTCAGTGAGGGGACCGGCCGTGCGCGGATATTGCGCACGTTCAACTTTGGACTCTAACTTCTGCCATAAAACCGGAATTTCACGATCGGAGGGTAGAGGGCAGGGTCACTGCAACAAGCTTCGGTTAGCGCCGGCTCTGTCCTTGTGAATCCTTCCTATCAAAGGGTTCGGAGTTCGGACTAAATTTATTTAAAAAAAAAACTGAACAGTCAACAGTGAGCACTCAAAGGTGAGCACATCTATAAAGTGGCTTCATCGCTCTATCAAAAGCTATTGTCGAAAAACAGCTGATGATCTTTTATGACTTGAAATGACCTTGGGAATTAGCCCCATCCCCCCCCCCGGGGCAGGTGCCTCCACTAAGGTTTTTTTCGTAATTGCTCGGAACACGCCGGAGAAAGAGTGCTGAAACTTAACACATGACATTGATACCTGAGCTTTAATTCAGGCCGGATCTTTTGACACGAACTGCATTTTATTAGGTCAGGTCAGGTCACTGACCCATGAACTTCGCAACGCCCTTAGTGACAGAGAAGCTTTCACGGGAAAATGAAAGTTACAGGACCTAGTTAGCTCGAGAGGTGTCACGAGTTGTATACCTCGGATCTTTCCTAAGGGTCACCTGAGGTCAGGTCTGTACGTGACCTCACCTTTATAAGACAATGGGAGAAATAGGTGAGAACTGTTATTTTGGCGCCACTGGAAAGATCTACAACTATCTCAAGGACACGGAATCGTGATTTCATGCACTCTTTGCAAGGTCTGATGCTTCCATTTTGCATTGTTTACCTTGCGTGATGCCATTTATGACGTCACTAAGGTCGTATGAGTTTTTCGCCAATAACTCCCGATAAAATTGAGCTAGCAAGTAGAAAAAGTCGCCAATGAGCTCGGGAAGACCTGCCGAATCGAATTATATATGCCCCTTCTGACCAGCTTCGTGACCTGAAGGACTCTGACCTGACCTTGACCCGAGGTCAACTACTTATATTGACCTCACTCGAGCAACAAGAACAAGTATACCATTCGACGCGCCTGGAGATGGAGAGCGCGATGGTGCGAAAATCGCGGCTCTGAAACCATTTTAACGAAGCTATTTACCAAAAACCGAAACCGTTCCTTGGGTCAATTGACCAGACCTCAGAGGTCGCGGGTTGACCTGAATTAGGCCAAATTAGATCTGTAATGTTTGCTGAACTTGTATTGCAGCTCGTCTCAGACTCTCAGGCCCTCACACGCCCGGCGTTCAGGCACGCCCACAGCTCACTGGCCGGGCGCAGCCGGCCGCGCCCGGTGACCGGGCGCACCGCCTCAGGGCGGATGACGTCACGCAAACGTGGTCACGCGGGGTGCGGTCTGGCGGGCCGCACCACGCCGCGGCTGCTACGCCGAGCGCTTAGCACAGAACACTACAAGAGTCAAGATCAAATTTCAAAATGGATATTTTTGCATAAAAAAGATATCGATTCGATGCAGCTCCTCACGGGGAGTCTAATAGTGGTCTTTGTTTTGCGCTAGGTGGTCTAGAATTGCTAAAAAAAAATGAGTTCAAAAATTTGACATCAATTTTGAACAGTGTCGTCCCTATAACTTGGCCAAAAAGGGAGGTAGGTTGAACTTTCGTATGTTGATAGAAGAGCGCAGGAACTATCATATATATTCCGTTTTTTTCGAAATTCGAAAAAATACTTTGGGATTTTTTTTTTGTAAGTTGTGATTTTTTATTTTGGAGGTCAAAATCACAAAATTTTGAAAAATTCGAGATAACAGTTTTGTAGCACCGTCTTTTCTTTACACGACCACATAAAGAACTTTGAAATTGCTTGTTAACTGTTTTTGCTCATTTTTGCTCGAACATGACCTCAGTTTGATCTTAATAACTCCTGACTTAAGGTAAACTAAGATTTGAAATTTTGTGTGAATGTGTCAAATCAATTTCCGTGAAGGTACTGGAAATTTAGTGGCGCTGCGCGTCGCCGTTTTCTTGCTATTCAGGAAAAACCACAGGGGGGGCCATATTGGCCCCCAAGCGGGGCGAGGGTTAAAATGGGGTACCTATCGTTGCGTCTCCTAACGGCGCACAAGCTCGTTTATCTGCGAGGCTCTTAATTAGGGGTGAAACGGCAAGGGGTGTGTAGAAAACCAGGCCCGACGAGGGTTGGCCTGGGATAAGTTGTATGCGGGCCAGGCCAGGCCAGGCCTGGAATAAGTTGTATGCATCCTGTCACCCTGATCAACCGTTCAAAGTTCTTACCCACCACTGTCTGAGGGACTTACCTACCACGGGGGGGGGGGATTCGACCCAACATCCGGATTTCTTAAATAACTCATAAACTGCTTCGGCTATCAGCGTGAAGCTTTTAAAACTTTGTCGGATATTATTTCGGCGTCTTTTTTAAAAGATTTAGGCAATTTAATCAAAATTTTCTGACAACATATGATTTTCGTCAAAAATGATATATATATGAAAAATTGCAAAAATCGACATATTTCAAGCTTATCACAAACGAAAAACGTCAAAAGAATATGCACCTACACCAAGGCTTGAACATGGTTTTCTCGGATTAAAAAGTTTTTCGACTCTAGAAAGTTAAAATCTACTGTTCGGCCAGCAAAACCGTCAGCCTCCCAGCCCCACCGCTCCCGTCAGAGCGGTGTCACACCGGGTCGAGCTACCGGGGGTTCGGGGAAGTGCGGGCGTCGGGACGTCGGGACGTCGAGACCGGCCTGACCGGCGCGGGTCGCGCAGGGTCGGCCGGATCACCGGCAGCGGGGGAGTGGGGAGGGTACCGGTCCAACCAGCTAGCCCTCTCTGTGACGGAGCGTCGGAGGGACGGTCGTGCCGGGTCGTTCGGTCACTGACCCGCCGCTGGAGCCAGTTGGACAAGAGGCTGCGTCGGTGCCGGGGTGGCATCAGACGCCACCTGGCCTCGGCTCGAACAGGTGAGTCTCGCAGCTCTCAGAGCTCTCGCGGGGGCTCGGGGCTCTGGCGTGAGCGACGCCGAACCTCCCCGCCCGGTCAGTCAGACCGTCAGTCAGAGGTTGGACAGAGGGCTTAAGGAGAAAACAGGAGCGCTTCTCCTCAGCACGGGAAAGGGAGAGACAAAAAGTGGACCGTGACGGGAAACATTTCAAGTTGCTTTGAGAGTGATCAGAGGTTGTACTTAAATCTTTGTAGTGGGACGTCATGATAAAGTAAAAATATAAACATGGAGACGTTCTTAGGGCTCAAAAGTAATGTTTTAGAAGTTCGATTTGCCGATCACCTAGTAGGTTACGTCATAGCCTTTTGGAAAACTTAAATCTTTACTTATCTAAAATTTGATTTTGAATTAATTGATATTCACTGTCAGCAAACTGCAAATGTAAAATATTAACCAAAGCAAACTCACAAGGCATCCTATGAGCTTTATGGCAGGTCCCGTTGCTAACAAATGTTTCAAGTGATTTATGTCGACCGATAGGTCAGATGATGCCTTTGACCTCCCCCCATCCTGCATTGTAAGTCAATGACGTGATATATTTGAATGTCGTTCCATACTAAACTCTTTGGATTTATTCATCCATTCCTTCTGCAAGCAATAACACAACGAGAGCCTCGCTGCATGATAATACCCAATGCATGAGTGCCAGATATTTCGACTTAGAGACGTTTTTCCAGAAAGGGTTGGTCAATGCCGTGCCTATTATATAAGCATCATCGGTAGCTAATATCGAGAGTGGCCCGGCTGAGCTACTACAGCGTAGCGGCACTTGCGTGACGTGAGAGATTGAGGGTTCCTAGCCATTCAACAGTTCACAGTCATTTAACACGCGCAGTGGAAGGGTTGCGAGTACTACGCCCAGTGGAAGGGGGGGCGGATGTCGCCCCCCCTAAGATCTCAGCTCCCAGTGGAGCTAGGAAGCCGAAATTTAGAGGGTAGGTGAAAGCCTTGGGGACCTCTGTTGTGTGTGAATTTCATGACCCTAGGTCAATATCTTCAAGGTCAAATGAGGTCAAATGTGGTCAAATCTGCCATATTAGCGATTTTTTGCGCTTACACGCCGATAACTCAAAAAGTTACCGGCCGATTTTCTTTTTTCTTTCACTATACGAAAGACCATACATTTTTGAGTATGTATGGTGAATTTCTAGTTAATCCAACAATAAATATGGCAGCTAGAAGCATGGGCGCCGCCACCGGGGGGGACGGGGGGACGCGTCCCCCCCACTCTCAGAATGGAAGGGGGACGTCCCCCCCAAACTCATTACGGAGCGAGCGAAGCGAGCGTAGTCTTTCGTAGGTTAACGGAAATTTCTGAGTATGGCGTGGTCACGCTTTTGCTAGGCTTATATCTCAGCAACCACTAGACCGATTTACATGCGGTAATTTTTGTAGGGTAGCACTAGATTCATTCCTTCTAACGAGCATCGGACTATTCCCGATGCATGTGAGTGACCCCATATGCACGTGCCAGTGCCACGTGAAAAACGAAGAGGTGTCAGTTTTGTAACAATTTCAATATCTCGGCAACTACTGGGCCGATTGCACTGAAAGTTGGCATGTAGGTAGGTATACCCAAGGCCGTATATTATATCCACTAGGCAATGCATACCCGTGTGCCACAGTTGGGGTGCTGCTGCACGTGCGCACATGCGGGGGTCGATTCCAGATCTCGAGAACGGCTGAACCGATTGTGCTGAAATCTGATACATGGTTAGGGACCGGTTAGTAGGGTGCCGTGCAAAAGTCAGTTGGGACCCATTTTGCACGTGCGCACGTGCAGGGTGCCGCTTCCAGATCTCGAGAACGGCTAGGCCGATTGCGCTCAAATTTGGCACATCGTTAGGGACCGGTTAGAAGCGTGCAATGCACAAGTTAGTTGGAGGTATCCCCTAGCAATTTCGCACGTGCAAGGCCCACCCCACCCTCTCGCTCGCTCCGTTGGTCGCCCCAAAAGGCGTTTTACTGGTTTTTATCCTACACGAAATTTGATTAGGCCCTTCGGTCCAATGAGACCATTTCAGAGCCGCAAGTATGAAAGAATTAGTGGGAGACATTGGTCGGGGCAGCCACCCCAGTAAGCCACTTGGGATGAACCCGACCAATTGAACCGGGCAGCCCAGCCCACTGGACTCACTGCACCCGGCAAAGGACTATAGCTCCAGTGGAGCCATTCCCGCATGGGATAGAGTTGCCCGTCCAGCCCGGAGCAGAAGAGATGGAACGGCCGGTGCCGAATCTGAGAGGGTCCAGGAGGTTTAGATACTCAGTATATGGGGTGTGGGCCTACATGCATTGGTCTGACCCCTGCCACCTCGGCCAACAAAATCTCCAGCTCTTATCCGACCTGTCATCGCGGAACCGCCGATTTTTTATATCGTGATCAACGTGTGTCGTAAAAATAACACGACTGGCCGAACACGGGCCTAATATATTTCGTCTAACCAGCCAAGAGCATGACTTTACACCAATCCGACCTCGAAGTCAAAATCCGAACATTTTCGAAGACTTCAACTCCGACTCTGGCCAAAACTGGCCAAAACAGTCAACTCCGACTGCAATTCCGGCTCCGACCCCACACTTCTGCAGTCCCGCTACACTAAATTTCCAGCTTCTAAGAAATAAGCTATACGGTTGACAGGACCACAAAACATTGAGGCGACTTGACTACTTGACTTGGTTTTCCTGACCTAAGGTTTTCTGGTATCAAGCTTGTTACACGGGCTGCAAAATTCGTATTTTGGAGCAGTTTTGCCTGATGTTTTTTTGCCAATTTTCGCGGCGCTTCGCGCCGATTCGTGCACACACCAAAAAGAGAGATTTGTGACTATACAACGCCCCCTCTCCCACGCTGGTATGCAATATGCATTACCTATGCAATATGCATTATCGATCATATTAGTGGCATACATCAGCAGTTATACCGTGATAGAACACGAGGCTTTGCCGTGTCAAACTGAATCGAACATAAGATGTGTATATAGGTAGGTACTCGGTGGGAATGTGGTCTATAGCCATTACTTTAAGGAAATACCTAAAGTCCACAGCATAAGTAATGTGCGGTTTCAGTCCTGGGTAGGTATGTTCTGCTTCTGAAGCTTAGGAATGATTAGCCAGACCACAATGCATCTTTGAATGTAGCTAACCTGTTTCGTTACCCTTGCAGCTGCAACTTTTTTTTGACGTCTTCTTTTCGATCACTCCGCGTTAAAAAATCGCCAGTCAGAGCCATCCATTGAGATGGGTAAAAAACCGCACATTACTTTAGCGGTGGGCTGTACCTAAACTACTTTCCTCAAACCAGTTGTTTTGCCACAGTTTTATGAGTTTTTAGACTTAAAATGGTCAGGAAATAATGAGTATTTGCAAAAGGATTTTATATTTATTTTTACATCACTATTTACCATCCTTCGTAGAGGCTACTTACCTATATTGCAGCGGAAGCTGATAACGCGCTGACCAAGCATAGTACGTAGTTCAAACCAGCTGAATGCTGATTGGCTAGCATTTTTCCGTAAGGGAATGGATTCCTCGGTAAGAGAATGACAAAGTGTAATCTATGGGTATGACTTCAGTCTTCAAACCTAAAATCGATACCGATATATTTGGCTAGGGTGATCGTTGGGCCATAAAAGCTCCTGATTTGTTCTCGTCTCAGCTCAAGCTACAAAACTGTTACTTCAGTTCAAAACCCTATGTTAAAAGTGGCATATTTGCTTTAAACGTTGAATGCATCCGACCGAAAAAGCCACGGAAAGAATGTCCAGTTTTGGGTTTTCAGTCGGTCAGTCCGTCCCCCCCAGTCAAAAATCCGTGGCGGCGCCCCTGGCTAGAAGCCTGCTAAGAGTAAGATATCGCCGGCTGAAGCGGAATCGGCCGACGCGGGAAACGCGGCAATCACAATTTTGTGTTTACACACTCATAACTCAAGTTGTTACCGGCCGATTTTCAAAACTCTTTGACCATGAGATTGCCTGTACATTTCTTAGTCTTCTCACCAAATTTGACGCGAATCGAATATAATCAGCGGTAAGGAGCGCGATGTAAAGACGGAACTGTCCCGCCCCGGCACAGTCTACAATTCAGGCGGCGCGTAACGGCTAGCGCCGGCCGCCGCGCCGCCGCGCCGCCGCGGCGGCAGGATGTTTGTTGACTTTACACCGCTGTTACTAGAAAAGTTGTGAACCGATTTTCTTATTTCTTGCACGAGAAGATCCGCTATTCAATTCTGGACAGGTAGCCAAAATTTCACATTATTATCATGTTTGCGGCGCGAGTTATTGGCGAAGAACAGGAGGGGTGGGCGAAATCCGCCCCCCCTTCCACTGCGCGTGTTAAGTTCCGATACTTCTCTGTTATCACTACCAAAGAGCAGGGGACATGAAACCATAAGATATTTGACCTCCATACCTTGGTTGAGAATGCATTGAGATAAATGTGTTCCTACTTAACACGCGCACCGACGGGGGGGCGGATATCCCCCCCCTGAGGTTTTTCGCGAATAGCGGGAAAACCTACGCGCCGCGAAATTTGGTACGACTATTCCCTCATCAATGTTACACAGGGTGTGCAAGTTTGAACCTCCTAACTTTTAAGGTCAGGTCACCAGGCCAGTTTGAATGACCCAACCTCAAGTCACTTTTTTGCAACTTTGTCACCGTGCCAGAGCTACAGTAGATGTCGGAGACCTTTGAAAGTCGCAGGATGTTATTAGGTCATTAGTGGCTATAATTTGTATATCTCGGAATTTTGATATCGGTGACCTAAGGTCAGGTCAATTTCGCGACCTCCCCATTATAAGTCAATGGGGAAAATTCAACTCCCTGTTTTTACCACTAAAACAGGTCGGAATGGCCCCATATACCATACATGACTTCATATACGATCAACCCTCACTACCTTGAGGTCTGTTTTGCTGTTGGGCAGCTGTAAGGTCATGTGACGTCATCAAAGGTTTTTTTTGCCAATAACTCCGTACAGGAACAAGATACAGCCGCGCGGATGGTCTCATTGTGTTCAGCTCGTCAAGACGCATCGAATGATATACATGATGACCTCGAGGTCATGTGACCTGAGGTCAACCTTTGACCTTGACCTTTCGAGGTCAACATATATATCATTCGATGCAGATTGACGAGAGGACCACGATGATGCCCTTAGTTTGTTCCTATCTTGACTAATTCGAAAGTTATTCGAGAAAAACTCTCTCCATATCTAGCGCCGCCATTTTGACTTTTTCAACCCCTGTGACGTCATCTTTGACCTGACCTGAAAATGACCCCGGTAAAATTTGTAGACCTTGACCGTTCGTGTCCGATGCCGTTTACCGCTTGTCGCTATCTTGCTTCGTTCTCGAGATCTCAGGGGGGGGGGGCGGTCATCCGCCCCCCCCCCGTCGGTACGAAGTTGGTCGGCAGACCCCCGTCGGTGCGCGTGTTAATATGTGGACATTATCACACTCCATGGTATTGCTAGCTAGTTGTCGTCATAGCGGAAGTTGAGAGAGAAAAAGGCAATGGCCTACCTACTCTACGCTCTGATTGGGAAGTGGGATACCGTGCGCTGAGGTCTATCTTACCATAATAGTCTCATGCTTTTCTATTCACGGTATTTAGTAACATTTATATAGTTGTACGGCAACGGTGTTGAAAACTGCATTAATCGGTCAACGAAACATTTTTTAAAAGTTTTTATTTTTTAATTATGGTCAGACTATTTTCAGATCCCACTCGCCGAGACCACACAATGCCAGGGAACGTCCATATACGTTTGTTTATTGGGGTTTCAGGGCGCGCCGAATGCCGATACAAGGTCAATTTGCGCCCAAACGTCCATAACGGACGAACTGATATGCGTAACTACATTTAGTATTCAATGGCCTTTTTTGCAGCTGAACTTCAGCCTGCGTTGCTAATCCTTTTGCAGGAATTTTAATATTGAGTCCAGGCTCATCACGATTCCCGAGCCGCCCTGCTGTGACCTTATAATGACTGTCTAGTGTCTGGCGCACCATACTGCTCCTGATGGCTGTTGGCCGCGCTGCTGACCCTATGACGCCCGTCCTCTCGCAGGTGGCGCACGATGTTGTACTTGTTGGCCGCCCTGTTGACCCTCTGACGTCTGCCCAGTCCACCCTGTGACCCTATGACGTCTGTCCTTCCGCAGGTGGCGCACGATGCTGTTCCTGTTGGCCGCCCTGCTGACCCTCTGACGTCTATCCTGCACCTGTTGACCGTCCTGTGACCCTCTGACACGTGTACTGTCTACAGGTGGCGCACGATGCTGTTCCTGTTGGCCGCCCTGCTGACCCTCTCGGGGGTGCAGCCCACCGCGCTACCAGCAGAGCCACGCGAGAGCGGACGGCTCTCCGGCGCTTATGGTGAGCGATACAGGGTTTAATCGATAAGGAGATAAGGACACAAGATTAGGACAGATAAGGATACATAACTCGTATGTACCAAAAGATATGTAGATCATAAGAAACGAGACATGGATCAAAATATACAGAACAATCATATTAGGTCGATTAATTTCTAGAAACGATTTGCCGAAAATCGTTACACTACACAGTTTCTTCTTCTTTATGTCATACGTTAGAAAAGAAAATACCGACAACATATCTACTTGGAGATCAGCTGACATTCTTCCGATTTCTTCCCCGACAGGCGCCCTGTCTCATACCGTCCGTGACCTGACCTCGCTGCCGCGCACATACGGCGAGGATCGATCGGCGCGCATCGTCTGCTACTTCAGCAACTGGGCCATCTACCGCGAGGGTCTGGGCAAGTACGGCCTGGAGGACGTGCCGGCCGACAAGTGCACCCACCTGGTGTACTCCTTCATCGGCGTCAGCAACGTCACCTGGGGCGTACTCGTGCTGGATCCCGAGGTTTGTGCAGCCTTCGTACCGCCTTCGTCGTGGCTTGATAGAGCTGATATTTTCCTAAATGTGACACAGCTGATCCATGCGGGATGTTGCGATAAAAGGGATTTTAAGAGCATGGTAATAATCTTATTAGTTATCTAGGTAAGACGGCCAATGGTTACATCTGGGAGTATGAATGTATATCAGAAACGTCGGCCATGTCTCAGCGATGAGTTTTTAGTACACGTGGCTCTCCCGAATGTGGAATGATCATATTTCCACTGTCATCACAGGTGGACGTTGAGCAGGGAGGCTTCGAGAAGTTCGTGGCCCTGCGCGAGAAGCACCCGGGTCTGAAGCTGCTGGTGGCGGTCGGAGGATGGGGCGAGGGCGGCAAGAAGTACCACCAGATGGCCACCAACCCGCAGTACCGGAAAATGTTCGTCACATCGCTCGCCCGTAAGTCAGGACATGAGGCTGAAGTCAATTGATCTATTACCTCTTTTGTGTTTTCTCGGAGGTCCTCCAAATAAAGTTAGAGGGATCATTATCGAACAGCACAAGATCGTAACAACTTGACATATTCAAATAGACGTTACAGTCTATGCGCATGCCAACTGGTGATTTAAAAATGAGTTTGAAACAGTCTATTTTCTTCACACTGTCCTTCATAATTTCTTAAAGATTCCAAATAGCTAGCAAGGCTTTTTCACTGCCTAGTGCCCCATACCTATCTTTGTATCATGGTTATGCGCCTCCTCCGCAGCGCCTGCAGCTACTCTAACCCCCCCCCCCTCTGTCCTTCGTCGGCAGAGTTTATGAACAAGTACAAGTTCGACGGTCTGGACCTGGACTGGGAGTACCCGGGCGCCACGGACCGCGGCGGCGGTTACTCGGACAAGGACGCGTTCCGACAGTTTGTCGGAGAGCTGCGCTCCACGTTCGACGCCATCGGCAAGGGCTGGGAGCTGTCCATGGCAGTGCCGGTGGCCAAATTCCGCCTGCAGGAGGGATACCATGTCGGTGACCTGTGCAGGTGAGCAGAGGAGGTCGATGGTCGGACGAAAACCTACCAAAAGTGACAAACCGATGCGCGTTATAGGAGAAACTTTCCAAATTTTTAGAACAATGGGTATCAGAGGACCGGTTGAAAAAAAAACTAAGGCGATCTCTGAATTGTTAAGCATGCTTGATTACGTTACCAGCTTTTGTCATACTCGTTCATTGTCTACGCTTCTTCATAATCTTCTTGCCATCGGCGCCAAAATTTAAACAGTTTATTTTCGGTCAGTTTTAAGAACGGTACAATTTACGTCCTTCTCTTCTAATGCTGCACGAAATACCACATGCACCTAATTTCACGCTGTTCCTTCTACCTCCCAAAGGATGATCGACGCCGTGCACGTGATGACCTATGACCTGCGCGGTAACTGGGCCGGCTTCACCGACGTCCACTCGCCGCTCTACAAGAGGCCCTTCGACCAGTGGGCCTACGCCACACTCAATGTGGTAAGTACACCAGCTAGGAGAGTTGGCAAGCGAAATGAATCTAAATTTCTTTTCTTCAAGCCCCTTGCATGTTCTTACATATGCGAACTGCAGTCTCATTCATAACCCTTCATAGAATGAAAATTTATCGGCAGAAATCATCAGCTAATGCGCCCAGCACTCCATGTCATCACATGCACTAACTGCTTTGCCGTCCACATTCTCGCAACTATGAGTTATACGATATTTCTAACCCACTGTCCTTCCACCTCTCCCCAGAACGACGGTCTGAAGCTGTGGGTGGCCGAGGGATGTCCTCCCGACAAGCTGATTGTCGGCGTGCCCTTCTACGGCCGCACCTACACCCTGGGAAGCAAGGAGTCCACCGGACTGCGGGCCGGTATCAAAAAGTGGGAGGGCGGTGGCAAGCCCGGCCCGTACACCAACGCCAAGGGCTTCCTGGCCTACTACGAGATCTGCACCAACGTGGGCAAAGATGGCACCTGGACCAAGAAGTACGATGACATCGGAAAGTGCCCCTACGCGTACCATGGTGAGTAGTTCGACTTACATCGACCGATGCAAAAATAAATATTTACATGACCCTTGTAACATTTACACAAATAGGCGTATTTTATCCAGCTGTAATTGAATTAAAAATGCAGCATTCTTTGTGCGATGAACTAATCTCCGCACGATACACCAGTGACAATATCCGGCCTTTTCAGAGGACCTGTGGGTGGGATATGAGGACGAGGACTCTCTCCAGATCAAGATGGACTTCATCCGCGACAACCAGTACGGCGGCGCGATGGTCTGGGCCATCGACATGGACGACTTCCACGGACTCTGTGGACCGAAAAACGCCCTTATTGAAGTATTGAACCGCAACATGAAGGACTACAAGGTAAGCACTGCATAGCCCAACATCATCTCTATTGTTCCAACTTCTTGACACCGCCTTCACCTATACGACGTTTATGTATTTGGCCCATTTGTGCTCCCTTTTCAGTATGATGCCACAGGCAACGAAGCCCTCATATGATAATAGATGTCCAATACAAATTGCAAGAGCAATGTTTTGGGCTATCAGTCTTCCGTTGATCGAAGTATAACCACGCGACCTCCGTCTCCTTCAGGTGCCGAAGCCGGTCGGGTTCGTTCCGAAGCCGCCGCCGAGCTGGCAGGAGCCGTTCACCATGCCGGAGCCTTTCGACGTGCCCGGCGTCACCCAGGAGGGCGCCATCGTCACCGAGGCCACGACTCCCGCCACGACGACGACGACGAAGACGACGACCACCACCACCACCACCGCTTCCTCCGCCCCCTCGGGAGCGAGCGAGGTGGAGGCGGTAGCTGCTGCTCCCGCTCCGGCACCGGCGCCCGCGCCCGCGCCGGCGCCAGAGGCCACTGATGTGCCGTCCTCCTGTTCGGATGGAGACTACTTCGCTCACCCAGACTGCTCCAAGGTGGGTCACGACACATTTCCCAGGTCACAAGATTGCGCCAGGGTGGGTCACTTCACCACAGAACCGTTCAGTGTGAGTCACTCCGTTGCTTGATTGTTTCACGGGTTGGCCATTGTCCTCCATCAGCTTATTGCTATGTGCAAAGGGTACGATTGAAAGCGTTGAGCAAACTATGTATACTTAGATGTCAACCCAAATGAAATCATTTTTTAAGATGTAAGCGATAATATAATTCATAAAACATTCTCAGCTTTAAAAATGTAAGTATATCTTTGACGCATTGACTTACTAGGCTATTTGAAGTAGACCAGGTTGTCACCACATCAGCCAATTACATAGAATAAACACTAGGTTGACCCGCGTGCTCCGCAACGCGAAAAGGGATATTTTCGATCGGCGGGTGTTCGGTTGTTCTTGTGTCGGTTGGGTTATCTATCCATTTCGGTCGATTGCTTTTTGACGGCTAAACGTTTTGGTTTGTGGAAAAAATATCCACCGCATCGAGGTGCCCGTGTCTGATAAGCATGCTTTCCACTTCAGAATCTGTCAAATGTGCTTTATAATTTAGGCGCGTAGTTTTATGACAAATTAAAGGCGTAGATAATTTTCACCAAATATCGTTTTGCAGAGGCTTGAAACATTTATATTTTTAAGAATACTGTTGCTTGTCATACAAACGTGATGATTGGATCTTGGAGAGAATTGAATGCTCTTTCCAATGATAGCATTTTCAATTGTCAAATGTATCAGGTTAAGCAGCAAAATCCGTGTACTTATTTAGTGGCACATTTTGGACAAATACCATTTAATTCAGCGATTTTTTCCACATTGTTTTTGATCAATTAGCTTTTCACAATTTTTCCATGAGAGACGGTACATTTTTATTGCTAATAGGCGCTGTTTCAACTCATTCCGTCTGACGATCACCTGAAATTAATATAACTATTCCAAAATCCGTCCAAAACGTCCATTTTTCAAAAGAAAGTGTCCTCCCCGGTGCACGTGGCGCGTGCCAACCCCTGCACCGCACACCATTCGATAGCCCGTTCGATTCTCTACACGATGCTGTTTTCCCCGTGCCGATCGGGCGCACGGCTACCGAGATATTGCACCGGGACCGGACCCGTGTCGGGCAAATTTGGCTGTTTTCGCCCGTTTTTGCCAGCCGATTAATACATGTAAAGTCTATGACGCGAATTTGCACTTTTTGGGCACGCGCCACGCGCTCGCTATCGATCCGATCGAGCTGAGACCCATCAAAGGCACGTTGTCCATCCTTGTTCTATGAGTTGCGCAAACTTCAGCGCGGTAGGTGCAACGGTGTGACCTGTAACCCGCGCTACGTAGCACCATGTCGCGACCTTCGTAATAGACAGAAACTACGTCACCACAAATAGTAATATAGATATCAATGACCTTCAAGCTGCCGTGCAGAGTGTGCAGCCATTGCCGCTCCTTTTTGCATACTAACCTTTTCTTATTATAATTGAATGAGGACTTTCGAATTGTATTACAAAGCTCCGACCGGAACGATTTCTTGTGGAGTAAAGTCCTCATTCAATTATTACATTAGCAAACTCCACATCATGTCCTTTAGCTAACCTTTTCTGTTCGGGTGTCCCGACAATATTACTGGTGCGCAGTCGCACGCAGCTCATCCTCGTCCCTTTCTGTGCACTAACCGTTCCTATTTTGATGTACCCCCACAGTACTACTGGTGCGTGCACGGCGAGTTCCAACTGAGTGGCTGTGCCGACGGACTCGTGTTCAACTTTGCCAGCAAACAGTGCACGTGGCCGGAGCTGGTCGGCGCGCAGGCGCACTGCGGGGCCAGGTGAGAAGGGGGCGCGGCTGATGGGATGGGTTGTGATTGATGGGGCTGAGGGTTGGGCTGATAGGACAGACAGGTGGGACTGATGAGAAAAGAGAGGAGGGACTGGCGGGATAGAGAGGTGGGACTGGCAGAACGATGAACGTGAGTGCGGTAGAGAGTTGCAATGGCTGACTAATAGAGAGAAATAAAAAGATATATGGATGTAGGGTTTGCAATGATAGGACGGATGATTAGAATTCAAAGATGAGCTGTCTGTCTGTCCGAACATGATCTGTCTTCATTGCCCCCACAGCATTGAGTGTTCAGCTCCAAACTGACCTCTGCTAACCCTGCTCTCCCGTATCAGGTCGGCAACTCCCTCCAACTCGGAGTACGTGCGCGGCAAGTTCTCGCCCTCGTACTCGCGGGACCCGTTCTACAACCGTGACGTGGCCGCGCTGCGAATCAGTCAGGACGTCTACCCGTCACCCGTCAGCGTCGATGAGAAGAACCTCAGGCGCTACTGAGAACCAGGTTCCGCTGAGAACCAGACTTCGCTGAGAACCAGATGCTTCTGGGCACCGGGTGCTGCCGAGAGCCAAGTGTGACTGGGCATCAGTTGCTTCGAGGAATCGGGCGCTACTGGTTTACAGGCGTTGCTGAGATCAATCTCCCGTAAGTGAAAGCAGTCGCCTGCTGCCATTGAGTTAGGTATAACGTGACGCAATCGGTTGATGTTTCCCGTTGTTGCTCAAACTTCTGTTGAGGCATTCTGTTGTTGACGACGATGTTACTCTAGGTGACGAACGATAGGGTCGGTGTTGTTAACTTTAACGACAAACCAATCATTCCAACGGGAATGCAACATGACGACAACTGATTGTTGAAAAGAAAATGTTGCAGAGACAGCCCCTTGGTTTTGATGGTGTTATTTATCGGAGTGCAATAGTGACAATACGATATGAAAATACTTATGTGTGTGTTTACCCCCGAGTTACCCGTTTACCTTTCCGACATGCTTGACGAGCATGCTTGATCAAAAGTACAAAAAAAAATAGCACGGTTCATCTCATGATCGAACAAAAGGTTATGGGGTTGTCCGGTCCTTTAGCTTTATAGCTCCTTTAGCTCAACGATCGCTTGACGCTTCCGTCGGTTGTACTGAAGATAAACGAAAGAGAGGCATGAGGAAAAGGTAGGCAATCATCTTTTTGTCAAATGCCGTATTGCGTATACTTTTTACGGCAAATTAGACCCTGCATAATCGGTTATCGAGTCATAGCAATTCGTGAAAGCCTAAATGACCGCTAAACGGCTCTTTCAGGGCACTACACTCTGTGAATGGGAACTTTGTAGACTTTTGAGGTAAACTTAACGTTATTTATTAAACACAGCGGGCTCCATTCCGAGATCTGGTGCACTTCCCGTGCCTGAGTGTCACTGTCATCAACAATAAACATAGATCAGAAGGTACGGGCTCTGGCGAATAGAAATGCAAAACCCTCACAGTGATCACACTACAGCATTGCTTCGCTATGACAAATCGCTATAACAACCCTCTTCGAAGTGTTGTGCGAGCCTTGTAGGACGATGCTGACGGATTCGGTGACATAGAAAGCTATCCGTATGCGACGTCTTCAAGATATCAAGCATAAATGAGAATGGGAATCAGACACTTTTCTTACGGACCAATGCAGTACAAATTTATGCTTTGGCGTTAGAAGCGTCGCAGGTCCTAAATCAATTTTAATGCATACGATACCAAATAAGCGTATGCATGTGGACTTCAAATCTTCACTGCTTTGCATCACCAGTTCCAGTGAAATGTATCCGTCTGGATCTGTCGTCTGGAGGCCTGGCCCGTCGGCCACGCCCCCAGCACGAGCTCAGACAGATGCGGAGTCGGTCTGGGGTCAGTTGTCCCAGACGAGAGGACGAGATCCAGCTGTGACTGGGAGGGAGGGAGAGTGGCGTGGACAGTGGGCGGAACGGACAGAGTGAGAGGGAGACGGTGACGGAGGGAGAGAGAAGGAGGGAGAGAAAGCTAGGGTAGCGGGAAAGTGACCAGTGGTTGGAGGCGGATACTAGAGAAGAGAAGAATATCCAAGACAGTGCAAACATGAAGATCGACATCCATAACCACATTCTACCGAGGACTTGGCCGAACCTGGCGGAGGTAAGGGTGATAGCACGAATGGGGCTGTTACAGGGTGTTCCAAAAAAATGAGCTTCCTAACTAATATTGCTTATATCTCCAAAACCGTATGTCCTGGGCTAATGAGAGGTCCCTTGTTGGAAAGAACGGTCAATTTCGGTTATAATAGTCTACTTAGTGTGACTCTGAATTAATACGTATTACACCGGCGGGAACGACAAATGTGTCGCGAGATCGGGTGAAACACGGCGACGGCGGTAAACGTGCATTGCTGATGGCAACGCACGACCCATATTGGAGTGTTGAAATACCTATTGGTTGAACAAGTTCACCCATTCAGTCTTCAATTTTCGTAATAAAATTCACGTGCGAAGAATGAATAAACATACGTGAACTGAAATATGCAGACAGATGTGAAGAAATTTCAACCATATCCGATACCGCTAAATGTTTCACCAAGAATTTGGTATCAAATTGTGCTTTTTACAATGCTGGCGATTGTGCTTTTTACAATGTTGTGCAGGATAGGTAACGGAATTACGGCCTATATAGATGTAATTTAATTGCTCTTTCTAATGAGTGGCTTCCTAAAGCTGTAGGATGCACGGTTGCCGAGATACAGTCGATCTTAGTTGGGGGCTCACTTTTTTGGAACACCCTATATCTTTTACCACTGGTTAGGGTGCTAACGTGATTAGAGCTATTATCTTTTATGGCAAGGGTGCTGGTGTGTATTGTGTAAGTCTGTTATCCTTTACGACAGGTCGGTAAGTGTGCTAGCGAGTGAACGTTTATCTATGCGATTGTGTACATTAATTCTGCTTGATTCGGGTTAATTTTTAGATTCTTCAAGTCAGCATAGTCAAATGTTAACTACAATGCGTGACAAAAAACCGTAATGGTACCTATGTGAAGTGTAAACACTGAGAGACTAGCACGCCAGCGAAAAACCGTGGCCGCCGTCAACATTTTTAACGTTGCTTCATTGATTATATCCACCCATAGGTAAATATCTAGAGATGCGAAGCCCGCATAATGCGACCTATTACAAGTGATCTAGGATAGTCAAATGAGCGTCCGGTACGAGTATATTCGTGAGACATCGGCTTTGGATGTGCACCACCACGTCTAGTAACATGTAGTAATGTTACCGTATCACGATTATGAGCCACACAGTATGCTTCGACAACACGACCTAAGCTCTACATGCATATTAATCGCCGCCACCCCTCACATCATTTCACAGTCCCTTCACTCCTCAGTTCAGTGCCAGTTCCTTCAGTCGCCGAACTAAACCACATCACCCTGCTGAAGCCTCTGTCGCCCTGCGCTCCCCCTTCTCACAGAGGTACGGCTACGGCGGCTTCGTCCAGCTGGAGCACAGCGAAGAGACGTCCGACTCAGCCCGTATGATGAAGGACGGGCGGCTGTTCCGGGTGGTTCAGGCCAACTGCTGGGACGCAGAGCGACGGCTGGCAGACATGGACCAAACCGGTGTCACCGTGCAGGCGCTCAGCACGGTGCCCGTCATGTTCAGCTACTGGGTGGGTGTTCAAAAGGGATAAAGGACCTTTATTAGGGGCATTCGAGAACTGACTGGCGGGCTGGCAAGTGTCAGGATCCTGAGTCAGGACAGAACGTTACTACTTCTTATTCATCAGCTGGTGTGATAAAGAAGGCTGGGCAGTGGGCTCACTGATCTGATCGATTAGATAACATGTCATATGTCTTAGTGGAGGTTATAGATACCTAGCCATCATTTTCGTTTTCATTTTTGTTCATTAGATTTCTAAACGGTCCGTATATTCGTCCGTCCAATTATGCACCTAGTCAATGTAGTCATTTATTACAATGCACTGAAAGCCGATGCGTATTGCCGTCGTTTTTCTAGTTTTGGTTATCGGCGATTCCAGGCGAAGCCGGCAGACACCGCCGACCTCTCTCGGCTGATCAACGATGACCTGGCTGCGACGGTGGCGCGTCACCCGAAACGGTTTGTTGGTCTCGGTAAGCATGGACTCATCATGCTTCATCGGGGAAAACTGCGACGGAACACATAAAGCGTGCAGCTATTCGTTACAGCATAAAACAAACCTGCCTTCGATTCAATTTATCAGCGATAACGAAGACGAAGCAGCAGCGTTGAAAGGCCGAATTCTATAGTTCATCCACAGTTTGATCAAAGGTCAAACTTCACCAAGACAAATCGTTTATAAATTACATGAGCTCTAATGATGATGTTAAGTGTCCATTACTAATCGACTCTCCTAGCCCTTCTTCGTGTTTCCTTCCCACACTTTGTCTCACACCCGATCACATCTTTCATCTCCCGCAGGCACCGCGCCGATGCAGGCGCCGCTGTTGGCAGTCGAGGAAATAAAACGGCTCACCACCGAGCTACGTATGCCGGGCATCCAGATCGGCTCCCATATCGGCGACTGGAACCTGGACGCCCGAGAGCTGGACCCCGTCTGGAAGGTAAATTGGGACCTGTCTAAGGCTCTTCGTAAGAGCTTTACGTACCGTCTAGGCTTTCGCAGGAGCTTACTCCCGCATGAACAGTGGATCCACATTCAACATCTACGTCTTTAATCTTACTTCATTTCCACATTCTGACGTATAATATATATTAACACATGGTTTCCCGTGTGTAAATGGTTTTAACGCACGACGTGGATGGATTGGAGCACGAGTGTGTTAATGCACGAGTGAAACGAGTGCATTAACGCACAAGTGCTCCATTCCATCCACGAGTGCGTTAAAACCATTTATGCACGGAAACCATGTGTTAAACTAATTAATACATGCTTAACGGTGCGAATTTAAATTAAAATAAACTTAATCCATGACACTAAATGGGCCTTTTGTGGGAATTCTTAGAATAAAGTCAATGACCCTTCCGAAAATCTTCAATCGAGAAATTCATCAATGCACGCGCGTGCACCAATTTAAATTGGTGCACGGCTACCTTCGAATTAACGCACGGTTAATCTCCAGTGAACGCACCGTAAAGCATGTATTAATATTAGTTGGTAACTTCCGGTTCAGGTGATTCTAATGTTCACTTTTTTCCATGTTCACCCACTCCACAGCAGTGTTCGCCATGGGCCGGGCCAGCCCAATGGGCCATGGGCTGGGCTGGGCTACGGGCTGGGCTGGGCCCTCAAATATGAAGGATGGATGGGCTGTGGATGGGCTGGGCCAGGAACTGTTAAGTGGAGTCAGGGGCTCGCAACTGGGACAAAAACTATAACTACATAGCTTATTACTGTGCAAGACTAAAAAACGAGTCAATAAAGCACGCATGCAATGTGCATTGTGCATGCGGCTCGCAAAATATTGTTTCTTTGCTACCTTTGGGTACCTGTGCGGTGTCAATAATTTTTAACACATTCATTTTTGACGGGCTGGGCCGGGCTGGGCTTTGACGCTTTTACCATGAATGGGCTCGGGCTGGGCCGGGCTGTAAACCCATGGGCCTGGGCTGGGCTGGACTAAGATTTTGCGGCCCGTGGCGAACACTGCTCCACAGTCCACTTCAGGCGTCATGAGACGCCGCCTCGTCCCTCTGCACCGCTCCAGGCTGGGTCACGCCGTCTTCCATTTCTTGCCAGTGACCCGCTTCTCTGCAGCCGTCCGCGCTTTTCACCAGGCGCTGTTCCACGAGCTTGTTTCCGGCGGCGACCAGCGAGAGGACAGAGGAACCGAGCAAGAGCCCCAGATAGCCGCCAGTGAAAGCCAACAAGTCCTCCAGGCTGAAAGTGGACACAGTCATCATGACGCGCCTCACTCGGGACGTCGAGAACTTGGCCTGAACGAACTGTCGATCCTTTTTAGGGACACGTCGATGCTTGAGGACCTTAGCTAGTGGACGTCGCAGTGGTTTTCTCTTGGAGCCGGGGAGAGCTTTGAGTGTGATGCGATCCTGTGCGCAGGGTCTTGGACAGTTGCAGGCTGTATCTGAGTCATCGCTGAAAAACTCCGAGGCTCCAGCGCCCAGCACATCGCAGTGACGCGCAGTGCAGAGTGGCATCCCTTTTGTAACGTTGCTTTCCATGCTGCATCCCATCCAGGCCATGAAACATTGGCGCTCGCACGTCGCAACGCTGTAGTCCGGGACTGGGTTGCATGGCTGTCGTTTCAGGTTGAGTCTCTCCTCTCGACTGATCGTTATCTTCATATTACGGTGGATTTTGTTGTCGATGACAAGCATAGCGTGGTCGCTCGGATTGTATCGAAAGAAGTCTCGTTCACTGTGGAATATGATGTAATAGTATATTTGCGCCGATTCGTCCCAACCCTGCACTGTTTCCGGATCAAGAGTTAAGTTGAGTTTGAAACGAGACAGGTCGCATAGAGCCAATGTGACGCCCATGACTCCATCCCCATTAAGGACAGGCCAGGAGGTCCCCTTCGTTCGCCTGCCGTTTTTCAAGGGGCAGAGATCGTTTGCATTTAGTATGGTCTTCATCCATGATTCACTGTTGGATAATAGAAGATCCTGAAGAGATTGATCAGAATCCACGGATTGGTGAGTTATATTTACAACAGGATCTTCACTGTGTTCTGAGGACTCTGTTGACACGCCATCAACGTATTCGTCTTCTCTCTCCTGATGTGCCGTGTAGCAATCAACGTCCACCGAGCCAGGGAATATGGACACATACGGTGGTTTGAAATCAGTATCGAGTCGAAACTGCAGGGTGGTTGGCTCAGAAAGGAAGTGCACGATTTTGATCCCTGTGAGAGTCAGCCAGGCGATCAGCAGGACCAGTTGTACCACGCGCAGCAGCACATCAGAAGGCATGTAACAACTCCAAGCCATAATTACCATGCACTCGATGAAGTCATATACGCATGGATACTTTATCACAGGCGCGATGCAGTTCTTCAGCCGCTGTCACTTCTTTTGATGAACGCGATCACGATGTTGTGTCATACACTTGGTTCCAGGTCTGATGTTCGAGGGTCTGTGTTGCTTGGTCTTTGAGCACAACTTCCAGCAGACCACTAACAGCTCTTGCCACAGCTGGCACCCACCACTGACTGCCCATCGCCCAAGTCACGGATAGGAGTCCATGTCTGAGGCAACACGACATCTTCTTAATTACATCAAGTAGGCCGGCATGGACGCAATCCATTAGAGGTAGCGTGACGAGGCGAATGAGCGGTGTCACCAGTTATCGCATTGCGTGCATATCCTGCGATCCTGCTTACTTAGGTACGTCTCAGCCGTCAGTCATGCGTCCCGCATTGCGGTTGGTTGCTATTACAAAAGGAACTCTGCGCATAGAATTCTTGGAGCTACCCAGTACCTACCACTTGATCTAATGACATTTAGAGATCGTTTTGGCGCTCTTAACCCGCGCATGACCGGGGGGGGGGCTCTAAAGAGCCCCCCTCCCGTTTTTCGGCAATACCTATCTTCTAAACCGCTTGACGAATCAACACGAAACTTGCAGAACCTTCAGCGTCATTAATTTGACACCTTGTTTGTGTTAACCCTCGCCGCACAGGCCATTTGGCGTCCTTCGACGGCACAAGGGGAAAGGGAGTGGTACGACCACGACCCCTTCCAGGGCCTCCTCTAACATACCCACTGGGTGGGCAAATGCCTACCCAGTCACCACAATTGCCCACCCAGTGGCGTCGATTTGCCCACCCAGAAGCAAATGCAAAAGTAAAGGTCCGGTCAGACGTCCGGTAGGAACTACCACTTCGGTTTCCCGGGAAAAAAAAACCTTGCTAGCAGCCAGTGCCCCAGCCCCCAATCACTGCAGTGCAAGTTATTTTTTACAATGGATGCATCTGAATGCAGGGGCGGTAGCAGACTTGGCGTTTGGGGGTGGGGGCAACTTGGCAACTTTGCCAACCCTCGGAGGGGGGGGGGGGCGGTGCTAGCTTACAGGGGCCCATGGCCATAGCGGCCTCAAAGGCCCGTATGGAACCCCAGAGGCCGATGTGGGCTCTCAGAGGCCAGTGCGTGACGCCTAAAGGTGTAAGCCATGGGTCCCCAGCCAGACAACAAAATAGGGCCATCAGAGACCTTACAGGCTGATTGGGGACTAAATAGGGCCTCAATTTGGAGCCATCAGAGGCAAATGTGGGCCTCAGATATCAGTTTGAGGCCCTTATAAGACTGACATTGGTCCTCAGAGACCGGCATCGATCCTTCAGAAGCCAGTACGGGGCCCTCAGAGGCACAAAAGGGTCAGTCTTGGATCTCAGAGGCAGAAAATGGGCCATCAGAAACCGGTGTGGGACCTTTAGAGGTCGGTTTGTGCCCTCAGAGGCCAGTTTAAGGCCCTCAGAGACCAGTACAGGGCCTGAAAATGGCAGTTTGAGGCCATCAGAGGCCGACTTAGGCTCTCAAAGGCTAATGCGGGTCCTTGAGGCAAGGATGGGACCCTCAGGGGTCAGTGTGGCACCCTAAAAGACAGGCTTGGGCTGGTGTTGGACCCCAGAGTCCAGAAAAGGCCAAGTTGAGCCCTCAGAGCCGATGCAGGTCCTTAACCCGGCAGTTGCTGGGGTATTTCGCCACCCACCGTTTGCTGGGGGGGGGGGGGCGTTAAACGCCCTCAGCCGATAACTCGAGAACCAATAGGCGCATCGAAACGCACGAGGCGGCAAACGAAAGAACGCGACGAGACGCTTCAGATGAGTACTTTAAAGTTGAATTTTGAGGTCACAGGTCGGGTCAAGGTCACGTCAAACACCTGAAATCGGACTTTCAGTAGCATGGACTTCAGGACTTCACAATGGGCGCCTCCCGTCATAAACTCTGTCAAAACGGTGCACAATCCATCATATAAGGCCTACAAGAGTGTCAGCTCCATGTAGGGGTCAGTCAAGCATAGGTCAGGGTCAAGGTCAGGTAAACCGGGTAGACACATATCCCCGAAAATCAAAACTGATATTCGCAGCCTGTGACACATGTTTTATGGGTAATTTGGGGCGCAGAACACGATGGTGACATTCATTTTATCATATGTGTACGTGTTTGGGTCAAAAAGTTCAAATTAAGAAATGCATGTATCATGGTCGTGAAGTAGTCATGAGAAATTGCCAAGATTCAGTTCAAGATTTTGGAAAATGCGGAACGATAATCAATAATCGAAGATAGCCATTTGATTGTTCATGGTATTGGCAGTCTAATGGCGTTTACGGCATGTCTGTATGTCTATTCTGTGATTTTATATGTTTTTTTGAACATATAACGTGTTTGGTCGAAAACCAAGAAATCATGACGTCACTGAAACCTCGATCTCAAAAATTTTCCGGCCGATTTTCTTGAAATTTTGTCACAATAAACGTCAAACAATTCCCTAGAGGCACTCAAAATTTGGCGTGCCTGCGGCGCGCCGTTTTTTTTTTTTTTTTTGCTATGGCCCAGCTAAAAAAGTGGGGGCGTTTAACGCCCCCCCCAGCAACTCGGGGGGTAACCCTCGCCCGTATAGGGGGGAGTCGAACGGACCCCCTCGATTTTTTTGCGAATAACTCGCGACCTGTGACCTCTTTTCCGTGACCATGTTTGGCCGAAATCGCGATTCGGCGTATGTCGGCTCGCATTAGCCGCGCGTTTGCAAGCTTTTCGTGATTTCAAACGTTCAAACATGTGATTTGATGTTGCTCCCATACATAAGGGTGGGTGTCAAGGTCACCTGAAGGTCAGGTCACGTCATTGACCTTTGGTGACCTCGGGTGACCTCGGTTCACTTTTTCGAGTTTTTTTCATGTTCTAGGCTAGTTTTTTAGCTGAATTCGAATTTAGCAACCATTTGAACATTTACGAAGTAGTTTTGGTGCCTTCGTAACATGTTACGAAGCTGTCAGAGGCGGTTGACACGTAATACGAATACCCGTCACAACCCCTACCGGTTGACCTGACCTGACCTGACCCGACCTGGTCTAAATGCTTAAAACATCATCTCTGATCAAAATTAACACTATATTCGTGATCAGCACCCCGGAAAACCACACAGCAGCCACACTTTACGACTTTCTAACAGGTCCCGATTTTCCCGGTTTTCGGGTCATTGACCTGACCTGGAAGGTCACCCGATGACCTAGGACCTTAAAATTGGGTATCATCGGCTTCCTCTCGTAACGGGCAACACGCTCGTTTTTTTCCGTGAAGCTCTAGCTTGATCAGGGGCCAAACGCGAGGGGGGGGGGGTCGTGCCGCCGAAGGACGCAATGGCCTGTGCCGGCGAGGGTTAAAATTGGGTATCATCGGCTTCCTCTCGTCACGGGCAGCACGCTTGTTTTTTTCCGCGAAGCTCTAGCTCGATCAGGGGCGAAACGGCAAGGGAGGTCCAACGCCCCCCCCCCCCTATACGAGTACCTACGTTCGCGGCTGGAAAAACACCAATACAGGGGATGGTTAAAGGCCGGCATCGGGTCTTCAGAATCCAGTGCGGGGCCCTCAGAGGCTAATATGGGCCTTTACAGGCCAGCATGGGGCCTCAGAGGTCAGTGTGGGACCCTCAAAGACCGGCATGGGCCAGCAGGGTAGCGCGCTACAAGGCCAAGGATGTATTACAAGTAGATTAAGGTCAATAAAAGCCGTATTTAGATTAAGAGGACGCGCCAAGAGTAAGCTGACCATGCCTCCGAGGCAGCGAGCATCACCTACCTATTCGATTTCTGGTTCAAGGAGCAATCATAGTAAGTTTAACTCTGCACTTTTGCAGTCTTCTTAAAATTTTAAATGTATGTAGACTAGAGATGTCAATCGGATACCAACTTTTTGGTATACCGATACCAAACTGGTACCAACTTGGTATTTGGTATTTTGATCCTAATGTTGTTGGTATTTTGTTGGTATTACGAATCCGGCTAATGTATAAGAGGATACGAATTCGGTAAAAAGTTGGTATTTCCCTCATGTTCCCAAGTTGGTTTGGTTTCGGTATTTTTCATGGTTTTGGTTGGCCTTTGGTTTGGTATCGGTATCCTGATTTTCCGTTATTGATATCACTAATGTAAACAATAGGCATACCTATAAGGTGAAATACACACGAAATACCATATCACACACGACAAACGTTAAACTATAAATGGCACAGTTGGTTGACTGTGAAAGTGACATAGGCCTTAACCCGCCCCCCCCCCCCAGTCGCAGGTGAAAATGGTTGCACCCCAAAACAAGTGACTGGATCTGCCCTTGGGCTGGGGAGCGGCGAAAAATTTTGCCCACCCAGTGAAAAATCCTTAGAGGAGGCCCTGACCCCTTCCCCTAGCGTTTGGCCCCTGATCGAGCTAGAGCTTTGCGGAAAAAACGAACGTGTTGCCCGTTACGAGAGAAAGCCGATGATATCCAATTTTAAGGTCCTAGATCATCGGGTGACCTTCCAGGTCAGGTCAATGACCCGAAAATCGGGAAAATCGGGACCTGTTAGAAAGTCGTAAAGTGTGGCTGCTATGGGGTTTTCCGGGGTGCTGATCACGAATATCGTGTTAGTTTTGATCAGAGATGATGTCTTTAAGCATTTAGACCAGGTCGGGTCAGGTCAGGTCAGGTCAACCGGTAGGGGTCGTGACGGGTATTCGTAATACGTGTCAACCGCCTCTGACAGCTTCGTAACATGTTACGAAGGCACCAAAACTACTTCGTAAATGTTCAAATGGTTGCTAAATTCGAATTCAGCTCCAAAACTAGCCTAAAAACATTGTAAAACTCGAAAAAGTGAACCGATGTCATCACAGGTCAATTGACCTGACCTTCAGGTGACCTTGACACCCACCCTAAATGCATGGAGCAACATCATATCACATGTTTAAACGCTTGAAACCACGAAAAGAATGCAAACGCGTGGCTAATGCGAGCCGACATACGCCGAATCGCGACTCCGGCCAAACATAGTCTTGAAAAGTAGGTCACAGGTCAAAGGTCATTTGGGTCAGGGTCATCAAATTTTCAGGGTAGGTGTAAAATTGAATAACTCGAGGGTACTGAAAGTTTCGTCGGCGATCGACCGCTTTTTACGCGAGTTATTCGCGAAAACTGAACAGGGGTCCGTTCGACCCCCCCCCCCCCCTATACGGTCGAGGGCTACAATACTAAGCAATAATCTTTGTCAAATTACCATGTGCTCTCCGAAACAATGTAATTATTATGGCACATTTATGCATTTACTACATTCTACATATCGACAGTTCAAATTTCTTTATCGTTCACTCCTCAGTTATACTCACCCGGCACATCCAGCACCCGTATACCCACTCCACTGCCCCCCCCCCCCTCTAATCACCCCCAGACGTGCGAGGACTACGATTGCGCCGTGTTCGTCCATCCGTGGGACATGGTGATGGGCGGCAGGTACAGCAAGTTCTGGCTGCCCTGGTTGGTGGGAATGCCCGCAGAGACCGCCACCGCTATTGTGTCGGTGCTGATGGGCGGAGTGCTGCAGCGCTTCCCCAAACTGAGGCTCTGCTTCGCGCACGGCGGAGGATCGTTCCCGTATACGGCCGGCAGAATCGGTATGTGGGGTTCCAGTATCCCTATTTAGTCTCTACTTGGTCCCTACCTGTTGTCGTCAGGGGAGTAGGTAGGAGGCGGGAGCTGGAAAAAGAGGGGGAGACGCTGTCGGAAATGAGGATAGAGTTAGGCTGTGGAAATGCTAACTCGAACGTGTTGCAAGTGCAGCACTACTGTCGTTGAAAGCGAATTACATTGAAAGGTGAGCGTAAAATTAAAAAAACAAAAAAAAAAAAACAAGAAATATACCGACCAGGGTCTAATGTTTAGTTATAATCATTTTCAAGCACGTAGACTGTGGATCATCAAGAATGATTACAGTTAAGTCCATATGTTGTGTGCGGCATCATATTTGTAATCGATGTTCGTTCCGTTTCGGTTTTTCTCCGCCAGACCACGGTTTTCGGTGCCGGCCGGACCTGTGTGCCCAGGAGACGTCAGTGCCACCTAGTGAGCAGCTGGGGAAGTTCTGGTGCGACTCGCTGGTGCACGATGCCGCTGCGCTCGACCTGTTGACAGAGGTGGTCGGGAAGGTAGGTAATGGCTTATCGGGCTATACCGTATTGACCTGGATCGGGGCGAACGTGGCTCCCGCTGCGAACCAGCTGCCTCGGTCGGAATTTAATGCGGCCAGCTGCTGGGGAAGGGCCGGCGAGTGACAAACAGGGCTGGGGCGGAGGGGCAGGGAGGGGAGGGAAGTTTCAGCACTGGCGACAGGCAGGGACCGAGAGTCCGTGGGAACAAACACCGGCAGCGGTTCCCGGGGTTTCAGTGGGTCCCTAGTCGTTCACGGCGCCAGTCGACCCGGTAAAGGTGAAAGTACCTACTTCAGGATCGAAACAATAGAAGCCTTATGGGGCGGGAGATTCGGTGTCATGAGTCGCCAAACGAATTATTAGCATTTAGATTCGGTGAATGAGAGCGTAGATGCTTTTAAAACATTTCGCCTAAAAATGGCATGATCTGGCTTTGGCATCCAATTCCAGACCTCAAATCAGCTGGAACTAATGATTGAAACTATGCCTTTACGCGGTTTATACCTATGCATTGTGCAGTGTGCATCAGTAAGGAGTAACTACAAATGCACCGTTTCTCTGTCGCAGAAGCGGGTGATTTTCGGCTCGGACTACCCGTTCCCGCTGGGGGACCTGCACGGAGGCAAGATCGTGGAAAACCTCGGCGACCCGCAGCTCAGGGTAAGGAACAAATATAAAAAACGGGTATCACATACAAACATGTGTTGTCGGCATACGGAAAACTCATCGGATCCATTATTTTGCCGACTGGCGACTGCAGGTGCCAAAGATGTAGGTATATACAATCATGTAGGTATATATTTTTTGCAGCTAATGTCACATTATAATGACCACTTTCTCTCTTTTCAGGACGACATTTTCGCCCAGAATGCACTGGATTTTCTCGGTCTGGAGAGATCCGCCTTTGAGTAAACATGTCTCGTCCCGTGTGAAGTTGTATTGCGTCAAAAACTGCATCCATAGTGCTCGCTACGTCACGGAAACAGCAAGGATCGTGACAATGAAAAGCTACCACAATATCCACAATATATGTACAATGCATATCTTTCATGTTCCCACAATGAATGCCTGCTTAGGTACGGGCAGCGGACGAGAGTGGAGGCGATTCATACGACTCTCCGCTTGATCTTCGATTCATATTTCGTATAGAGCTCGTTGAAAAATAAAGAGGCACATTTCATCTTTTTGTTGCAAGTTGACTGATTGGGACTTGACTCGCGGCAACAGCAGTAATTACGCGTTAGAAGAATAAATCAAGAGTGCAAACACGTTACAACCACCCACAAATAACGCCAATTCTACATCGAATCTACTACATCGATTTACGCCAACAGACAACCAGGCGAAACGCTTTCAGGCACAAAATCACAACTGCATTTATGCAGATCACACATGGTGAGCTCACTCGCGAGCGTCGGCTCTACCCACTGTCTTTACGGGGAAACAGCTACATCTACTGCTGATTGGTTAACGGCAGAAATCTGTGACTACTTTCGAAACCATTTCAACATACTTGTTTCCTGATAATACATGCAAACTGCAAAGCATAAATGTGTCTTTCGGTTTGCGGCGTACATGAACTTCGACACCCATGCTAGAACGGTTATTATAGTACTGAAAACAAAAGTCGACTGCGCCGAACCGGTAAAGCGTGATTGATCACACGTTATGAGACATAAACCCGATTGCTTGCTGCTGAAACAAGCTCGCCTTGCGTGTACATCATATGTATGTGTGAATTAATTATCAAGGCACTTGTAAAACCATTGCTCGCCAGGGCCAATTCGACTCATTGCCTGCTAAGTGCTAGGCAAGCCAAGATAAGTACCTAATGTCGGCTGCAATTAGCTCCCTGTAATCCTAGAAAAATACTTTCATAGCATAAGATGAGGCAAATGTAGAATGGACTGAAATAGCCCCTGCAATGATTTCTTTTATTGTACTCTATACGTGCCCTCAGCTCAATAGTGACGTCATGCAATAAGTAGCTAACTAGCTGAATAGCTGAATACACGTAGATGTATTCATGAGGCAGAGTTGCCATAGTCCATTAGCGAATTATAATTCAAATTGGCCAATAAAAATTCTAACGCCTATGATTGATAATCATCATTGGTAGGGCAATAAAACTAAAATTAAAAAGTGACCAATTTGTAATTGCGATTTTAGAACAGTTTTCCAATAAAACTACGAAAACTGTGAGGCCAAATCATTCCGAACCTGGCATCACACTCTAAGTACGCCCACCCTCACCTCCCTCTTTTACGGGATCCGGTCGAAGTCAAGGGAGCAGGTCTTGGTGAGCGACAGGCGCCGGTGCTGCGCCAGTCGGCGTCCCTCCTCCCCCGTCAGAGGGCGCCACTCGCCGCGGCGCGGGTCGAACTCCACCGCCGATCCAGTGGGCTCTTCAAACACGGGCGCCGGCTCCCCGTCCTCCTCCGACAGTGTCAGGTACACGAGCCGCCGAAAGATGGCAGCACGGTCGCGCCGGTGAGAGGTCAGCTCACCAGAGATGGACCAGCGACGAGAGGGCACTCCGCGCCCGGAGCGTAGCTGGGGTGGGGTGGGAGCGAGCGGGCGGGAGGGTGCGCTCTCTCCAGCTTCGAGAAGCGCAGGGGAGGTGGATTTTTCGGTGGAGGGGGTAGGGTCACTTGCTGGATGGCGCGGAGAGGACGGAGGCTCCTCCGGGACAGAGTCGAGGCGAGTCCGTCGTGGTTTGATGCCGGAAGGGACGGGAAGAGGACATGGTACTGGCGTGTCCTCGGGATCATTGCTGACCAGTTGGTCTTGTGTGTCACCGGACGATTCGGTTGTTTCTGGCACTGCTGAAATTTCTTCAACAATGAGGTCATTGAGGTTAACTGGTTGGTCGTCTTTCTTTTCTTCCTTCGTTGAAGCTTGGTCAGAAGTCGAAGGCTCAACATCAGCAGATAGCTCGTTGGGAAGGTCGCTTGACGCGGATGCTTTTGGAACCGAGCTGTCTTCTCTCTTTTCCTCGGTAGTTGTCTGTTCAGTCGTATCTTTGTGAGGCTCAGCAGAACTGCTAAGTGCCTTTTCATCATCGTTGTTGGTATCCTGGATGGACGCAGACGTTTCGCTGACTTCTTCAACTTCCAACTGTTTACTCTCTGCATTAGACGCATTCTTCGTTGTCAGTGCCTTCGCCTCAAATACGTCATCGCTTTCATAACCATTCTCGGTGGGTGCTGGAACAGCAGGCGCTTCATCCATGCTGGACGTTTCTGACAGCTTACTCTCCTGAGCAACTCGCTCCACCGCGCTTCGATTAGCATTTTTACATAGCTTCTCCGCTGTTTCTCCATTCACACAAACGCTTTCCTCCTCTTTATCTTCTGACTTCGAATGGCATCTTCCATTTTTGAGGATACCACAAGGAGCATGCCTTTCTGCCACACTTCTTACCTCATCTTCATGCAGAGCCGAGAGACTGCCCGTGCCTCGCGCAGAACGCCAGCCTTCGCGGAATCTCACCCTCTTCTCCTCTGGATGTTCTACCGGCCTGCCGTTCTGCCCCTGCTGAGCAGCCTGTTGGGGGCTCTGCTGGGAACCTCGCTCAGCAGCCAGCTGAATCAGATGATCCAGCAGCGGCACTCCACCCGCCTGCTGACAGCGTGCAGCCCCCTCCCGGTGGATCGCCTGGCTGGTCATCTGAGTCTCGTCCAGCGGGTCGGGGCGCAGGGCGAGCGGGCGCAGCGATACGTCCGAGTGCTCCCGGGACCCGGAGGTGGAGGTGGATCCGGACCCGGACCCGGAGCGGACACGGGATCCGGAGCCGGAGCCGGAGCTGGAGCCGGTGCTGGAGTCGACTGATTCCGGGTCACTTGAGGCGGTCGAAACGATAGAAGAACGTCGATCTATGAACAAAGAAAGGAATTGATGCAAGTTATCAGAGAAACTTTCTGTAAATGGAAAAAACAGCGAAAACATGCCGATTGATTAGGAGATAGTCATCGATATAAATATAGCCGCAGCAGGACTATAGAGAACGACATAATTAACGTGATGATTTTTCTTTGTCGATGTATGCCTGCTCTCACGGGAGGAGCTCGTCCGTGACCAGGGCCATCCTCTGTCAATTCCCTTCCCGTGCCCCAGCCCCTTGCTCCCCTAGCTCCTCACCGAGATTGACGGTGATACCGCGTCGGACCCTCTCCGCAATAATACGGTCATAGGCGCTGAGCCGACGGCCCGAGGAGCGGTGCGGCGGCGGCTGGTTGTCTGAGCTGGTTGAGGCTCGCCGCAGCCAGGCTCGACGCTTCTGCTGCTGGTGCAGCGGCTGGGCGCTGCCGCGACGCTCCTCGCTCGTCATCTGACGATGGAGAGGGGTGGAGGGTTATCTGGGGTCAGCAGGTGGTTATTAGAAGGAACAAATGGCCAGGCTGGTCATCTGGACCCAAAAGTGCTAGGAAAGTTAGATGGGTGATAGGGATTCGAGGATTTATTTGGGAATCAAGAGGGTTAGACAATGGGCAGGTCAAGCAGAGACCAGGTAAGAGTCAGTCTGTCCTTTGAAGATTGAAAAAGTGTCATGATAAAAACAGCTGACTGCAGGCTAACGATGAAGTATTTCAACCCGTGCTCGGTTAAGTGACAGATTCACCTTAGGCTGATGCCTGATGAACCAATGACGATGCAAAACCTTCATACAAAGAGGAGCTATGAGATCAATAGCAGAACCAATCCCCATCACGGCTCACCTTGTCTGTTTCCCGCTCGGCGGCCGGTTCACCAGCTCCCTTCACGATACTTCAGTCACGTCAGTCCTCGGACCACAGTCAGTGTCCCACCACGACTGGGCAATTCAGACTCAGTGACCGCTCGCTGCCACCCACAGCACTCCACAGTGTGCCAACGAACTTCAATAGCCAACTCGCCACAACACGAGGCTTACGTTTTTTTTCAGATACCACTCATCGTAAACGTAAATAAAATCTCCTACACTGGATTTGCTCGTATACTTTCGATCTTTGCAGCTATTTACAGCAACTTCTTACACACAGCCATCCACACAAGTTTTTGCACGGGATTCCCACACGCCGCCACAATCGTTCCCCAGTGGCCCTGTGCCCTCTCGAACGTCGAATGGCCCGTGCCCGCTCCAGCGGCCACCCGTACACACACAGACAGACATACAGGCACCGACAGCCGGCACGAACGGAGCCCGTATCGACCTCGGACTCTGTTGTGGTCGTCGAGCCAGTTCCATCGACCAAGGCGACGTGGCCGCGGTTCGGTTAGGTGGTGACCCCCCCCCCTCCCCACACACACACCTCACCAAGTGACCGGAGCGCTACCGCTTCCCTCGTGGGGGTTTGGTTCGATCGTGTCCGCTCCGTCCCCCCTCCTTCCTTGCTCGCCCGTCACCTACAATGTGCTATGGTCCAATGAGCGCGTGCACTCACTATATCAACGTACGACTGTACCCACGTCATGAGGACGGGAACGAAGGACATACGGAGAAGGATCGATCGGCCGAGAATGGCGAACAATGTGTGGGTGTGGGTGGAAAGGGGGGCTGGGACCCCAGTGACCGAATGCAGGTCAGTTGTCTGGGAATCGGAACAGCGCTACCGCAAATCGAAGGCTCCTCACACCTCAGGTAGTGTTATGAAGAACACCTCAGGTAGTGAGTCATAGGTACAGACTAGCCAATGCTGTCCGTGAGGCTTCGAGGAAAGGGAACTTCATTTATAAGGAACTGTTTTGGCGATGATAAGATTGTATCTACTAGTGTGACATGAAGCAATAACAAGCTGAAGTGATCTCCTCGTCTATGAAGGTCGTTATACTAGTCGCTCTAATGATCGGAAAGAAGTTGATAACTATGCTATATATTTTTTTCCCATAGGTATCACATTCGTACACCACAGTTGGGGTTAACAGCCAGCATTCGCAATCATCTGCCTTACTAAGAAAACTCAAAAGGATTACGGCAGAACAAAAGGGGAGGAGGACACATTTCTGGTCTCACAAACAATTAACGGTAGGTGAAATAACAGAATAATTCTTCCACACGGAGCACTAACGATAAAATCGATTACAACACAACATCGGGGCTCCATAGCGATTTCATCATACATTTCAACACAGCGCTATGCAAGGGACTCGGGTCCACACGAAGGAATGAATTCATCAGTGGCACGATACAATCAGAGAATCCCCACTGGGTCGGGGAAATGTCAACAGTGTCACCACTTTATATGGTGATTGGTGACATGTCACGAGAAGCGGCAATTACGCTCTGCCATTAAACATACGAATAATAATACAGTTTTCACGCCAAATATTACGAGGATGATAAGTATAAATATAAAAAGTGCAACATAACCTTGTTTATCCACGCGTCACGTTAATATAGCCGATATTATTCCATAGAGTACGCATGTTTTGGTATTCCATTGAACAAGGCATGGTCTATGTAGCAGCCATGACGCAGGTAGGTCCCGTTCCAAGATTACGGTCCCGTTCCACCCTTCACAAAATCCGTGGAACTGCGATCAAAGTAGAAAGGGAAGCGCCACACCTGTGTCGGTCAGACAAATCCAACTCCAAACGCTGCAATGTCATGGAAGCCAAGACGGGAGCTCAGAAAGGGGACAAATAATCAGGACACTTTGCAAGGAACGTAGTCATATGACCCACCTACCCCTGTATATCGAAAGATTTATCCAAACAACGTGTCCTTTCCCCAGTAAGCTCCGACAAGAACAGCAAAATATTGCTGGGCAGCCACCACTCCTGAAAACAGCTGCTTTTGTCCACGGCACCAGCTCTGCAGCGCTATGGACATTTCCATACCGGCTACAATACTCCTATTCTTTTCCATCTGAAAAGGTATCTGATTTTTTGACACTATTCAGTTTTGACTGACAAAAGCGGCGGATATTCGTAAATGGCCCCCAATTTCAACTCAACAGCTCGGACCAGTACACATTGTCCGCATCAAATACAAAAAAAAAATCAACGTCTTATTCAGGCTTCTCACCGATCGACGCTACCAGCAAACACGGCCAATTCAGCTCAGTCAGAATCGTTCAGCGCAGCCCATACGAATCCCTTGAAGAAAGGTGTGGGAAGGGGCCAGGCACCAGCCCGGCATAGCTGTCAACGCAGCTCGGTCGAAATTACCACCTAGCCCGGAGCGTGGTTTCAAATCAGACACCGTGCCTTCAAATAAGACACTATGTGTCTACAAATCAGACACCATTGAAAATAATCGACTCATGTAGCTTAGTGTCAGCCTAAGGGTCGAACTCCGAGTCAAAAGACTCTCGGTGGCTGCGAGGTCTGGGGAGGACATCGTTCTCTTCGTTCGAGGGTGGCTGGAAGGGGTAGGATGATGGGTATTGGAGAGCAGGCGGTAGAGCAGGATATTGTATATTCGGCAGTATTGCGACGGCTCACTACAGGCATACTCAGCTCACAGCTGCCTTCATTAGCAAAATGCTCGGTGGATCTTTACGGGCAGCAGCGTGGGCTAGCGGAACTATCTTTATCGGCCACAGAAAATGCAGGTCCTAGCAGATTCTACTGAATTCCACTGATTTCGGTTGTTTCTACTGGGTTCCGTCAGGTCCTACAAACGTTGAACAGAATCTACCGGATCTCGTTAACCTCCGACCGCTTGACAGCTTTACCACATCCTACCGACTTCTACGAGCCCCCACCGGAGTCTACCAACATCAAAACAAGCAACCGACTTCCCATACCACTCTTTACACCCCTCTCGTCAAGTCCAGCTCTCCACCAACCACCTTTAGCCAGCCTTGTCCTTTTCCACTGCCCCTCCCCAGTGTTGATGCACTACATCAGCTCGTCCACCCACCGCTTCCACCACCTCTACCGGTACATCATGACGTCCCTGCTCTGGTAGAAGCACATGTAGCCGTCGCAGAGTAGTCTCCGCGCGTGCTCAGGCAGTCGCTTGTCGTCGGTGACGGCCAGCAGCCCCCGCCGACCTTCCTCGTTGAGCCAGCGGGGCAGGTCGGGCACTCGTACCACCTCCGGAATGTTGTACCCGTGTGCCTCGCCTGGGGGCGGGTGGAGGGGGGGGGGGGGGTGAGTGTTGACCTCTAGGGAAGGGGTGGGAGGGTGTGCGTGGACCCCTGGGAAAGGGGGTGGGTGAGTGTGGACCCTTGTGGAGGGGGTGAGGGGGGGGGGTGAACACCTGGGGATGGGGTTGGCGAGGGGTGAGTGTGGGCCCATAGGTACGGGCTGTGAGGAAGAGTCTGGACCCTTGCGGAAGGGCAGGGAGCGTGAGTGTAGAGCCGTGGGGAGGGATAAAGGGTGAAGTTGTGTCCCGGTGGGCACTGGGCTAAAACTGACGAACAACCGTGGAAGAAGTAAGAAGCTAGCAATTTAGTTCAAGTACGAAGTGACTGTTGAGCGTTGAGCCTGATACAATCATCATATGCGCATTGTGGTAAACATTGGCACAATTGCTGCTCCTAGAAGCAGTGCTATCGTAAATAATTACGATAGCACTGCCCTTTTTTCCATGGCTGTTTCCATGAAATTTGTGCATGGCAACAACGGAAGTTCGCAGTATTCGGGGAATCGCCGGTCGTTCGTGCACAAATGCGGCGACTTGAATATGAAACGTAACTAGTTGCAGCATACATCAATTATTAATCAAGCGACAAAACAGGTAATGCCTTACATAACTTACTATTTCATTAGACAAAATGTCAACTTCGCAGAACACATGGTATTAATAATACACGTGGTCATATGCCACATTCTAGCACGGGCTATGTCCATGATTTTACAGGGCTTTCATAATACTATGTATCTTCAGTGCCCTATTTCTACATTCCTATCGCATGCTTATCAACTCCTTTCATAACTAACTCCTTGCCCTTGCCCATATATTCCCCGTCTATTTCCATCAACCTCCCCCTATCTAAAAAAAACTTCAGTCCCTCCATTCACTCTTCTCACCCTGCCCATCATCCTCCTCTCTTTCCTCTTCTCACCCTGCCCTTCATCATCTCATCTTTCCTCTCTAATCCTTTCCATCTCCCTTCTTCCCTCCCCCACCCACCTTTCCGATCGGCCATCGAGTCGAAGAACACCCATCCAGCATCCGGGCCATGTCCGGCCTTGGTGAAGGTCACGTAGTGAGACGTGTGGATACAGACGACAGCGAACAACTCCAGGTAGGTGCGCGGTATGTGCGCGTGCTCTCGCAGCTCGGTGAACTGGTGGGGCACGCGCAGCGGCTGCCGCGGAGGGTGCGACGACCGGGAACGGTGGTTGTGCGACTGTGGAGAGCGGGGAAGGGGTTAGAAGGGGGAGTCCAAGAGGAAAGCGGGTGGCAGGGTTGGGGGAGGGGGCTTAGTAGGAGTGTGTTTAGCTGACATAACAGGGGAGTGATGTTATGCAATAAGTTAGATCGTCAGAGGACTATTGGAAGTTGTAACACTTCCAAAGATCATCTGAAAAATGGAAAAAGAAAAGTGAAACAGACGGAGGAGGATTTCATGAAGGGTATACGAGAAGAATTAACAAGACAGGTAAAAGTGAGAATAGATGATAGAGCAGCAATTTGGTGCAGTCAAGTAAGAGGTCGGGACGCCAGCGAAAACCATGGTAAAGCGTCGCTTAGCCAGTTTAACCCGCGCGGGGCTGGGGGGGGGTAAATTTTACCCCCCTCGCGAATTTTTGCAATATCTCAAAAACGGCGGCGCGCAGCGCCGCCAAACTTTCAGTACCTTTTCTTACATCAATTTGACACGTTCCCTGAAATTGTGAGCGAAATCCGTCGGATTTTTTTTTGAGAAATTGACGTTTTAGTGACGTCATGTTCGCCATTTTCGCCTCAAAAACGGCAAAAGTTCAAACGCCGCTAACATCTTCATTTTTAAAGGAACCAAGACGTAACAAAAAAGGTTATACGTAAGTCTACTTTGTCTATCAAATGGCTATCTCGTTTTTTTGAAAATTTTGGATTTTGGCCCAAATTTTTCTAAAAAAAACTGACTTTTTGGGAAAATAATTATAAAATCCAAAATTTTGAGTGTATCGAAAAAACCGGAATATATGTCAGAGAAGTGGTCTATGTGCACCTACATACCAATTTTTAGAAGAATCGCTTCAAAAATGTGGGAGTTATTCAAGATTTTATGACGTCACGACACACAAAAATTTTGAAAGATGATTTTTTTTTGGAAGTTCTAGACCTCGTACGGAAACAAAAATAGCACCATTCGATTCACCGTGAAAAACTGCATCAGATAGACACCTTTTTAGGCCTTAACAACCAACTTCAAAATTTGACCTCACTTGACCTGACCTTGACCTGACCTCGACCTGAAATTCATCCAGAGGTGGTCCATATCACTTATTGAGTGTGCCTATTGAATTCTATGAGTAAAATGACCCATAAAACATGTGTCGCACATGCCCTTTTCCATATTTTGTTTTTTGGTGACCTGACCTGACCTGACCTTGACCTTGACCACTGAATGATATTGTATGCAACGAATATTGTCTTGGTAGCCTAAGAACACGTTTTGGGCAATCAGTCTCAGTCGATGACTCCATTCTTCGGCAACTACGGTGCAAGGCCGATACTGTAGAAACTTGCAATTTGTACCCATGACCTGACCTTGACCTTGACCTCAAACTTTAAATTAAGTATATGTTTTTAGTAGTTCGTGATGAGATCTTTCGATTGGCGTTTGATTTTTCCAAATCGGATCATTAGTTCGGGAGATAACAGGGGGGTAAAATTTACCCCCCCCCCCAGCCCCGCGCGTTCGGCTGGAGACCCCAGCCCCGCGCGGGTTAATACACCTAGTACTGGCGGGCTATTTCACTTAAACACGACATCAGACATTCACCATTGCGAAGCCCACGAAATTCTCACTAAATAACTTAACGCATGTTACCGTGGCCCGGGCACTTCACAGAAAATCGATATGCTCAGACGACCAGCACACACGACCAGCGAGTGTTACAGCGGGTTGAACGACATGTTCAAAACGCCCCAGCATCGCTGCACTCGGCAGGCCTAGACACGTACTAGGGTATGAATGACACAAAGCAAAGGTTTGCACCGGGTTATGCAACGCTTAAACGGCTAGGATTATGTAAGGCTGACATTTTGACAGATCGACCACGAGCCTACCAACCAGAAGCTGAGAATCAGCAAAATAAAAATCACAATAACCACACACAAGCTGGCAAAGTCTCAAGTTAGTTCAAATAACGCTAAAAAAAAATCAAAATAATCCCGTCATTCATATATCAAAGCAAATGCTTCCCAACTTCATCTTCCCTTTCCACACCGAGTCTACTGAAACGTCAACGTCGTATTCATAGTATCGGACAGCCCGGCAATACACCACAGCAGCTGCAAGCCCCGCCCGAGCCCCCAACTAACCATGATGTTGCACTTGGAGCAGTAGGCGGTGGTCATCAGCCCCAGGCCGCTCTGGTTGAAGCAGCCCTTGCACTCCCACTCGGCCAACCGGCCGCATACGAAACACTGCCGCGGAGCTGTCAGAAACGAAAGGAGAGGGTTAGACACTGCGCTGAAATTCAGTCAACGCCGGTGCGAGCCATCGGACTCTTAAAGACACGACGAGTAAATATGTCAGGAACGGAGCGTTACATCATGATTTTAAGGACGTGAATTTATTTCAAGAATAAAAAATTTGTTCACAGTCCAAAATGCCCTACTCGAATATTTGTTTAAATCGCAGAAAGATGTCGTGTTATTACCATAACATTATCTAATACAAAAGCAAAAACAAAATACAGAGAAAATATAAAAAACATCGCTACGCATCAGTAGAACACAAACGTGCCGTCGACTCACAGTTCTCAATGACATCTGTCACGTCCAGTACCATACTGGGCAGGATTCGCGAGTACATCTTGTAGTCCTTTCCGAACCGCGGCATCTGGACGATCAGACAGGACGGAATCTGGCGGCCGGAGAGAGACGGGGAGAGGTGGCGTCAGTGGCGGAAAAAATGTGCAGTACATAACTACGGGTTGTTTGAAACAGACAAGCACTTTAATTCGTTAGAAATGTGTTTTTCATTTATTAACAACCGGAGCAGTACTGGGTGGGGCGCGGGGGGGTTGCATATTGTAGAACGGTGTACGAGTGCTCAGTGCAACAAGAAAGCAGATAAACGCTTTGAAATAAGACACGCATCCGGTTTTACCGCCTAGAGTTCCTTTGAAGCCGTTAACAAATTATTCACCAACTAACTGCCCACCACATTCCTATTAATCTCTCAACCTCACTTCACCTAGTCAATCTCACAACTTCTTTCCCTCCACAGCCACCCCGTCCTCCCTCACCTCCTTGAGTTTGATGTCACCACTGCTGAAGCTCTGGTCGAACAGCTGCTGAACGCTCGGTAGCACCAGACTGTCGTCCTTCTCCACAATCAGCTGGTAGAGGTACGACTCCTGGCCGGAGGAGTAGCGGAGGAACGGGTCGGCGTGCAGCATCTGAGCCAGCAGCGACTGAAGAAACTCCTCGGGGTCTGCCGGAAAGGAGAGGGTCGGAGTTAGTTAGGAGACGGAGTTGCAACAATGGCTGAGCAGTCACTGAACATGATATCTTGTGGAGTTGATTTCACGCTGAATGGATGCATTAAACGTGGGGTGACTATCAGCGCCCCTAGCGGATCAAAGCCGAAAACCTTAACCTTTGCTTCAACATTCGCCAACTCACTCAAACGACATTGCCTTTTAGTTTGCGCCCATTTGCCGTCCATTTACCGTCTCTAAGCGCTTCTGAAATGCAATAATTCAGGCATGAAGTCCACCTCGAGCGACTACCCTTGACCGACCCTGCATTACGCTAAAACCTGTAGCGGGGCGCGGCTCTGACCTTTCTCCTCTGATGTGAGTCCACGGACAGAACTGAGAGTCTCCAGCATCTGACGGAGCTTCATCACCCGGTCCGCCCGCACGTACATGGCTGACCTGGGGTCACAGGAGAGATGGGTTAGATGGGGTCACAGACGAGCGAGCCAGGCGAGCCAGCGGTCAGAGACAATACAGCGGTCACAAACGGTCATAGCGAGAGAAACCAGGAAGCAATCATAGATAAGACGCACGAAACAGGAATCACGGACGAGACAGAGGCTATAGAACAGTCAGCGGTCATAGACGAAACATATGAGACCGAACTGTCACCCTACGTGAGAAAAACAGCCGAGACAGCGATCGCAGACTAGCCCCAAATCTTCCTCACTTGTAGGTAATTATCTCAACGTCAGACCACGTCGACCCTCTTTCCAATGATACGTAACACACGATCCATTGAATCGACATCACCGTTCCATGCTTCTATCCTCAGGATACGGAAATCCTTCTCCTCCACGCCGGAGCCCCCCTCCGGGCTGGACAGGCAACTTTATCTCATGCGGACTGCTCCCTTGGAGCGGCACCGCTGCTCCCGAGGGAGCGCACCCCGTAGCCGGGTGCAGTGAGTGCCTTGGGGCTGGGTGGCCTGTCCTCTGGACGGGCTCAGCCCCGGCGACTCACTGGGGTGCCTGCCCAGACCAATGTCTCCCTCTATATCCTACCATCCTCCCGGCTCTGAAATGGTCGCATTTGACCGAAACGGCCTAACCCAACAAAACAAACAAACAAACAAACATTGAATCGAATCTAGACTAGATTAGCATGCTATCTATATGGGCACCAGGACGCCGACCCACCTGAGCGGGTTGACGATTTCCTCTTTCAGCAGTCGCTGTACCTCCGAGTACTCGGGTATATCTCCCGGCCGCCGGGGCCGCTGCAGCAGGCAGTCCAACACACTGCCGGAGATCGGGGAACGGGGGCGGGGTGTCACACGGTGATTTAGTTAGACACGCCTCTGAGGGAGGCTACAAGGCGGGCTTAACGGGGCCAGAGGCAGACGGACAGAATGTTGTGACAATGACTCAGCAGCGTTGACAAAAATGACCAGTGTGTAGACTAATGACAGGCGAGCCTGATCAACTCAAACTAAGGTATATCGGCTCAATAAACCTCTCGTCTCGCAAATGTCCGTCTGAATGTCACTGGACTCTTACTGGAACCGTTCTTTACTGAGCATGAGTTACATGCTAGTTGAACAAAGGCATGCTTTACAAACTCACGGTGTAAAAGCAAACATGGAGAACAGCGTTGCGTCCAGATAGCATGAGTTGAGGTGGCCCTGTATTCCCTTTAGCTTGCCACAGAGCTTCTTCAGCTCCTCGGTAGATGTCACTGAGATCGGCGGCACGTTCCCGCTGATCACAGGACACTCGACGTTCCCAAACGCTGCGAGAACCGAGAGGGCAAGAGGGCACAGTCAAGGAACGGCCATTCAACTGTTCAAAATGTAGCACAAGGTGACTTAGACGAAACATGACATAAGATAGTCTGGGTAAGCGTCGAATCTCTGCCCGCTTCAACGCATAATACCCCAGCTGTCCGGCAGTTACAACCCTCTTCCTCTGACCTCCCACTGCTCACTGCCGTAAGTCGGTCGCATCATACATTCTCCCGCTAGACCTTTCCCTGTGACCCGTTTGACCCCGGGTGTTTCTCTTGCCCTATGACACGGCGGTCCCCCTTTCCCACTCACCGCCGCTATCCGTGGTATCCGCGCTCAGGTCCAGGAAGCGTCGGTCCCTACTGCAGTCGGCCAGGGGAACGAACAGCGCCTTCCCCGGCTGACAGTGGAAGTAGCGGGTGCCGTTGAACGTGCCGTCGCCGTCGCCGCCCAGCGACGCGTCGTCTTCCTCCTGAGGTCAGGCGAGGTCACAGGGTCAATAGAGGTCAAAAGGGATCAGTCGAGGTCACAAGGGGTCAGATCAGGTCACGATGGGTCAGACGAGGTAACAAAGGGTCAGACGAGGTCAAACGATGTCATAATAGATCAACCGAGGTCAAAGGGGTCAGTCGATGGGGTCATTGCCAATGTTTGTCAAACGTGTCAATTCGGATCTCTTGCTCATAAGCACGACCGCAGCCTGAACGCCTCACCGACACGGTCGTTGAGCAAACCTCACGCAGCGCTACGGAATCACGCGCATAACAGGAAATGGGCTCGCTCCAAACAGGAAACAGCTTATCAGTCATCTACTTTCCTTTCACTCGCTCGTATCCGCCCTCAAATCATTCAAGCGGCTGACTCTCCACCACAGCGTACTCACAAAGTAAACAAACAACACCCCTGAGCACGACAGGTCATGGATCACCAATTACCCCCCCCCCCCCCCCCTCCTTCTCACACCCACCAGACTTCTCACCATTTCAACGCCGGCTAGGAGGCGTCGTTTGTTGTCTCCCCGCACGTGCCCCAGCCAGCGTATGACGCCGTAGTGGGGTATGCCGCGGATGTCGACCTCGACTGCTGAGCCCACCGATACCTCCGGCTCGGTCCAGGCGGCGCTCAGCTCTGCTGAAGAAAGGTGGGAGAAGGGTATTAGGGGGAGAGTCAGGGCAAGTAAGGCGTAACAGGGGGCGACAGGTCCACCAAAGGAAAGAAGAGCTGAAATATTGTCGTAGCAACACGACGAACTTATAGTTTTTATTCAAATGTTTTTGCGTGTGGAAAGTGCCAAATCACCCTAGGAGTTAAACAAATACATGGTTTCAAAAGTCAGCATCCCAATTTCACGTCTTGTGTGTAATGTGAAGCTTTATTCTTAAAATTTAGAGGCCATCTTTCGCCTGATTCACTCTCAAAGCATACACACATTCACACGAGGCCTGCAGGTACAAAACCACTAACCCCTTTCGATTCCTCTCACCTTTGCTCTCCTGCGGCGGTGGAGGTGGCGGTGGCGCCGGTGGCGGCGACTCGGGACTGGGCGTGGCGGCCACCTTGTCCCTCCGTTTGGGTCTCCGTCGCTCCAGGGGTGGTACCGTCTGGGAGTTGCTGAGGTCAGACAGGGGCAGCTGACGCCGCCGGGCAGACGACTCTGTCCGGTGTGCCGTCTTCGCCTGGAAGGGACGGGAAGGGGAGGAAGTCAGTGAGTCTTAGCCTGACGGGACGGGAGGGAGGGAGCCAGTTTCAGTCCCTGGGGACGAGCGCTTTATATGGGCAGGATGTATCATATACGACCAACTAAAAGGGAAGAAAATAGGGGTCGTTAAACGAACAAATCTCGTAGAAAGATATAACAGGTAAAACCTACAATTATTCGAATAAACGGCGACCAGAGGTTTTTCCCTTTACCCCTCCCCGCGGCGGTACATACCTGGATGCAGTTGTCATGCTCGTTCATCAGCTGACTGAGAGTGGGCGTGGCCGGCGGGGTGGGCGTGGCCGCCAGCTGCTCGTAGGCCAGCCGGTGGAATGGCGTCATGCGGGTGAGGTCGTCGGTAAACTCGTGGCCGCGGACGGGCGCGCGCGCCGGCGCCGGAGGCCGGTCCTCTTCGTCAGACGTGTGGAGCTCCAGGTTACGGCGGCCACCTGGCGGGAAAACACGGAACTAGGGTCAGGCTGACAGCGAGGTGAGCGATCCGTAAAAAGGCTAAGTGATCTCCGAAGGCTGCAAGCGAAAGTGATGTGACTGGAAAACGTGCAAAACAGTTTCATAAGATTTGAGAAGATTAACATGAGAGTAGTAAAAGTGTATAAGAAACGCAAGATTATAACGCTTTGCAGTTTTCAGAGCCTCAACAGCAGCTCATCCCCTTGCACACACACACACCGAAAGATACACCTACGTCACAATGCGTTCAGCTCAACTACCACACATACCATATCGAAGATCTTACCAACTACCTAACTCACAACCAAGCGCAGAGCGACCACCCACCAACCACATGAGTACCGCTCACATCACATCTACTATGACCTATCACCCTGCAAGGCGCCACTGGGTCGAACCGATAGCCGATAACGGGCGGCTGCGTCCCGATCTGAGTCAGTCGGCCACCTGCGACCGAGCGAAGATCGGCTCTCGACCGATTGGTGACCGGAGCTGACCGAATGTGACTAGCGCTGACTACTGGTGATCGACTGGTGATCTTTGGTGACCGAAAGTGGCCTCTGGTGACTTCTGGTGAACGACAGCAATCTCTTGTCGCCGCCGGTGACAGCCAGTGATCTCCAGTGACCGATAGTGGCATGCATAAACTGTCAGTGACCACGAGTGACCGCTGGTAACGAAGACAGCGCCATCTGTCCACCATATATCTCCGAGATGTACTGACCGTCACACCCCACAGAGAGGCCAGCCAGTGCGGCACGGGCGCCGGGAGGGGCCGGCAGAACGAGGCGAAGGGAGGAGGGACTGACTGGATAGATGGACGGAAACCCCGAATATATCAACCAAGCAGTGAAATTTCAACATAAGTGCGGCCCGTATTGTGTAATTTCTAGCGCAACAACATGCTGCGTGTAGTCCTTTCGGTGTGAAAATTCGCGTGAACAATTTATTTGAATTATCCGAATGCATTTCAAATAAACTTACAAAATTTTTGCTTCAATATTTTGCTCTACGACAAAAGCATCAGCCATTGCAACAGCATATGAGATCACCAGATCAGCCAGCATCAATCGGAACAAAGTCCATTATTTATCTACGCTCGTCGGCAGCCCCTCCCTCTCCATTCATCAGCTGACGCCGCAGCATCTGTTTTGATTAGCTGCACGTCGTTCGGTGGACCGCATTCACACCTCACTCAATGGAGCGTGACAGGCACAGCCGGGAGTGTTCCGCGTTCGATGTCGCGCGGCCGGATGCACCCGTCAACCCGCCAGCTCGCCAACTCGTCAACAGCGCTCTACGGATGCACTGTGTCCGCTAGGTAGCGAGAATCAGGTGACAGAAGTTAAGCGGTCCCTGACATTCCTTTCTCTTCACCTAAGCGGCAGTCCTAGTTGATTGGTTTACGAACCAAGAAACATATAGTTTCTGGCGAGTCAGTAGTATACCTTCATCCCATTCTATAGATTGTTACATAGGAATTATCCGATTTTGGGACGAAGGCCGAAGCCCTAGTCAATGATTTAGCCCCGTGTCTCGGCATAGAAGTCGTGTTTTCTGCTACTGGAGCGCAATCACCCTCGCGGCGTAGCTGGTCGCTGCAAGCTGCCATCACATTACAGCTTACCACGCTGCATTAATGGGGGTCGAACGGCGCGAGTCAGCGCCCAAGGCCGCTACCGGCCATGCAAATGTCCCGAGATGCAAACAGAGGGCTCTCAAAGCGTGCACTGGACGCCATGGAAGAAGCTGTGCTGGGTAGCTGATTTCAAAGATCGTCAACGCTAATTCACGAAGTTTGCTATATTCACAATGATCTACCTATGTCAAAAGTCCCAGGATTTTACGAAGCATATCACCCGCTCCAGCAGACAAAAAGATACGGTCCCACCGGATAAAGAATATTTATTTGAGCAAACGCATTTTTTGCCGGCTTTTCACTCAAACCATCACGCATGCAAAACGACCGACGAGAGCAAGCAACTGACTTTACCTGATGCCGCTCCACATCCTTCCGGACATCAGCCTCTCCAACCGAGGGGCCTAAATCGCATATTCAAACAGTAGGGGATTCTCCCGTGGCTCAGATTGGTCTACTAAGCAGCAACAGGCGCGAAGTTTTAGGGGCCCGTTCCGTGACACAGGCAAATGGAAGAAGTAAACAGAAAGGCAATAGCCAGCCTTGGTATAACGCAAGGCACTGTTACTGACAGTAAAGGTGTGAACGAGGACAATGCTGAGCACAGCACTGTCCCGCCATGCTTAAGTACCCATCTCAGCCGAGCAGGATGTCGCCTCTTTTCTACAGATTGACTACGCAGATTAAGAAACTACGCGAGACCGCTCATGCCAATTTTATACACCACACGCCAAACAAATACCCACATGTACAAGTCCTCATGCTCATGCTCCTCTCGAAGAATAACACCACACACCACACATGCATGCCCCGTCTACATCTACAATCTACATCCATCTACAATCTACACCAATACTACCTCTCCACCTCGCCCTAGCAGAACCTGCGGCGATTCCACCCACCTGTGCCGGCCTCTGACCCTGGCCCACTGCTGTGTCTGGACCCGGCCCTCTCCGCCGACGACGGGGCTAGGTGACGGCCGGTGCCGTTCATTCTCTGAGGCGGCACCGGCGCCTGGACCGGGTCGGGGGTCGGTGAGGGTGCCCCGGTCGGTGACGAGCAGTTGAAGTCCTCGGCTCGGATCAGGCCGGTGATGGGCACGATGGAGGCGTGGTTCAGTTTGGCCTCGAACAGCCGGTGACCGCGGTAGCAGCCGTTTCCAGAGCCGACCGGGTTGTCCTGTGGGAACGCGGGGAGCAGGTCAGGGCCAAGGTCAGGGCGTGAGTAAGGGTACGGGTTACACAGGGCGAGATTTAGGACGCAGTCACAATTCAGCTAAGAACTGAAGTCATACAGCAAAACGCGCTTCGAATACAAGTTGGATCTCACTATCACACCCTCTACGAATTTGCTACGAAGGCAAATGCATGTGTCGCAAATTCGACCTCCCTTCATCAAGTCTTTTCCCAGCCTTTTTTTCTTAAACGGGGCCGCCCGTCGGCGATAAAGTAAATAAACTATGCATCATGGACTCTCCTGCTGCAGCTTTCCCTTTCTAAGCTCGTTATCTTCCCTTCCATCCCTCTTCTACGCATCCTGTCACTCTCTCCTCAGACATCCATCATCCCCTTGCATTATGTCATGCAACAACTTGCATCACCTCAGCCAACATTCACATTGCACCTCAGGGTGCAGTGGCAAATAGCCCTGTGTAGTATCTCTGCGGCGCGAGCTATTTCGACACAGCTCCACTCCCGTTCTTTTGAGTCGCTGCCGATAGCGGGGAGTGTCGCCATGTCGAGCCCCCCTCCCCCTCCCCCTCAGCTGGACGCTAAGTACCGTCTAGTCCAGAGATCTTCGCGCCCCAACTCGGACACTGAGCGCCGTCCAACGAGCGTCCGATGGCGTCCAGTCACCGGGCACAATCTCATCAACGCCGGCCATTAAAACAAATGATCCAATATTACTGACGTTCTGCCGTAAATGAGCAGCCGTCTCCTCTCAGTCCCAGTCGTAAAATTAATAAACATATAATTTATAAATGCTTAGGCAAATATATGTATAGAAATAAAGCCTCAAAAGAAAATCCCGGACTAGAAATCAGTGTAGCGTGAGCTTAATCTTAGAGCTTGTATTGCTAGGTTTTGAACAGCAGCTTGGCGTAAATTATTAAAGCGCTCCTGGCTTCAAAGATGGCACATCATCAATACTAATAGAGACAGAACTACGAATAGAATCAGTTTTAGTGTCCAACCGGAACAATATAAGCTTGATCTGGATTATGGGGTGCAATACAGGTTCAATTCAATATCGCCCAGCAAAGGTTAACAATGACCAATGATGGAGCCAGTACAAATAACGATAAAATGTCACTTTGTCCGACATTATCCATAGCCTCTGGTGACTGGACAGAGGTCACCAATGGAGCATAACATGCATACGGGAGCCGCGCCGCTGGAACTCTAGCCTTTTACTGATATTTACAATGCACTTACATTACAGCGTGACACATGAAAGGTCGACGTTAGAACTCGAGCAGTTCATAAACAAGCAACAACAGGTGTTACACAAGCACACACGACTCGACTTCAGAAAGATTGCCATCGATTCAAGATCACAACATAAAACTCGTTGGGTGTGCCATGTGCAATGTGCACTGTGTAATGCGCAGTGTGCGATGCAGCGGTGATAAACTTAGGTAGCAGGGTACTCACAAAGACGACGCCGACCATCCAGTCTCGTCCGCCGTCCTCGGCGGGGAGTTTGCCGATCCAGCCCACCGAGCCCGTCTCCGGTCCGCTGTCACTGCCGGCGGAGGGGTCAGGTCAGATGGGGTCACATGGGGTCAGGGCGAGGTCACTCAGGTCACATGAGCTGATCGAGCCCGTCTTCGGGCCGCTGTCACTGCCGGCGGAGGGGCCAGGAACGGTCACAGAGGTCACATGGGGTCAGGCGGAGTCACATGAGCAACATGACTCACATACACTCGTGACTCATATACTAGCATGTAGTTCACAGCTCGGTCACAATGATTTCAAATGTCAAACGGATCACAAGGACCACACAACGCAGGTCCGACAGATCTCGTGGGTCATGCAGGTCATGAGAGGTCACACGAGTTTAACTCGTGTGACCTCTTAACTTAACATAGTAACAAGAATCACATGACGTGACACGGGTGAAACGGTTCACACAGGAGTCATACAGATCATACAAGTCACCACCAAAAGTCAAAGGTCAGGTCGGTGGAGCGGCAGGTGGTTCAGCACATCGTGTACACATTGAACCAGTAACTTATCAGGTCAAATGACTAGTGGCAGACAATTGCTGGTGTGACTGTCGACACCACTGCACAACAAAGCAAAGCAACACAACCCATTCTCGGCGAGATCAAACGTCAGAACGGTTATAGCACCATACATCAAACAAACAGACACAGCCTCATTGGTATTCATCCTTCTATCAGCAGTCCGGCTCAACAGATCAACATGCAGCCTCCAACGTTCAACTGCGCTGCAGACCGAGCGCGCAGTTCGCAAACGGGTGCAGTCTGAATTACCACCGAATGCAGTAGCGGAGAACTGCGTACCTACTGCGTCGGGAGATACGGGACATAGGCGTTACAACATTCAGGATTGCAGCCATCACGGCTTGGATGGGTGCGACGCGACTCTTGTCATCGGTAATTTACTTGTAGGTACTGGAGGCGTACTGGACTCGAAATAGGGAAAATAAAGCCGATGACGGTCTTTTGATATGCATCGGATGCGGCATTGTCTTGATACCACTGAAATGTCTAGAGCACTATTTTGAAGCACGAAATAAAAGTAAAATATCGAAAATAATTCAGGGAGAAGCCATGCCAACACTTCTACGTAACAGCTCAAAATAAAATTCGGATCGGGTGTTGTGTTCGCGGAAATAAGACCGCATAAACAGATCACCGCGAGAAAATATTTAAAGGTCAGGAGCCTGAGCATGAGTGACTGGGACAGCCTACCGCTATCAGCCAAAGGTCACGGTATAGCCTCGTCAAAAACATCCCAGTCAAAAACATTTCATGAAGGTCGTGGCATGAAAAGCACAAGACAACATACTGTGTGTATAGATGAGTTGTGCTTACACAAGACATCCTTAATTAGCTGTAAGGTCATAACCTCACAATGTTGATGATCGACACTTTCGACAATCACTATTTCTGTGATTGGAGCATCTGTTCGAGGGCATCAAATGCACTGTGGCATGTCGCATCCCGCCCCACCACCCCGTCGTACCCCATCTCACCTGATCCAGCAGACCCGGTCTCCAACACGCAGCGGCAGTGTAGCAGCCACATCGGGCGGTGCCCGACACACATCACTGGGTACCGGTATCGGTACGGCCGACTCCACCGGTACCCGCGGCTCTGTCCGGAGAGGGGGGAGGGGAGGTCAGTGGGGGACAGGCAGCGCCTTCAGGGGGCGTACTCAGTCGCACACAGAGGTGTTGAAATCGCCCTGTGTAAATAATCAGAGGGGTATACGGCGACTTGAACGCATCATTCTCACCTCAAATAACAGGGACCCACTGTCTTGACTTACGCTGTATATATTAACTAACAAAGAGCTCTTCATAAAACTAGATTAGACATCAGAAATGCCCCTTTTTCTTAATGGCATGTATCACATCATTTCATGTGAGTAAAACGATACGATGGGCATGTCAGCTCTAGTGAGGAAAGTCATGCATAAAACTTTTTTGCGATATGGCTTGTTTGCATGGGCAGCGGCCCTGGTGTACCAATCATTAACCTTGATCTCGAATAAAACAACCTGTTTTCCAGCGGTGCAGCCCCAACACGAGCCGAGCACGCGATACCTGTCATGTTCATCAAACCTATCAGGCACCCTCGCCTGCTCCGAGGACGACCGAAACCGGCACCAAAGCGGCCATTGATACCGACAGATACAGACATCAAACAGACCACCGCAAACCGTGCCGACACTGACACCGACATGTTTTCTGACACGGGACTAGCGGAGCAGTTTTCCGGGAGCAGGCTACATTTCCTACTCCGATAAACTGACCAGAACAGATCTCTCGCTTTTCTCTCATGGCTTCCAGATCACGCACCCAGTAAGTACCTACGTCTCAATCATTATGTAGGAAATAGGAATAAGTGACCCAACAGCGGGTGACCCAACAACATTTAACCCAGCCAATGCTCACTGCTGCCTTTTTCCACTATGCAAAGTGCATTTCACACCGCTACCCAGTAGCGGCGGAACACCTTCAATTAAGGGGGGGGGGGGGGTACTGCCGACTTTTGGTCCCATTCTTTCCATGCCACGCCCATAGGCCTAATGTTAAAATGGCAAAATCAAGGGGGCACGAACCCCGGTCCCCCCCCCGCCCCACTGTTCCGCCGCCTATGCCGCTATCCAAAAACACTACAGGTTAACCTTCACCACCAGTTCACACCGCCAAATTGCAGTACTGTCCACAGCACCCATTCCATGCACTTCCCCGCAAATGGGTTCACCGCCCGACCAATACTTGGGATCAACAGTCGCTAGTGGTATCAGTAAACCACGCTCGGTGGGCTTCGAGCCACCGAACCGTTACTGCATCGTCTGACGAAGCTGCCACTTCGAGCTCAGCTGTCTGAGCTCAGTGGCAGAGACTGGCTGGCTGGCTGGCCGCCCGGTAACCACGCGCCAGGGTAAAAAAAAAAAACAGCCCAGTTGGCATGCCAACGGGGGAGTGAGATTTACTGAATGGGATGGAAATAGTACGACGGGATTCAGTAACACTCGTGACGGGCCATTGTTGGAGTCGTGACGTCTGGGCGGATGTCACACATTCAGTAACGGGTTCTGTTTGGTGTGAGCGTTGTGCATTGTGCATTGTGCACAAGTCGTAGCACGGCTATGCACCGATAACCCCTGATTGGCATCCTCACACCTACGGAGCGGCGCACAGGTTAACCCGCGCCCTGCTGGGGGTCCTGGATTTCCACGCTCTGCTGGGGGGGGGGGTGTTTGAACACCCCCCCCCCTTGTAACTCGGCTCCTGGGCCACGTAGCGATACGCTGAAGGCGGCGTTCGAAAGAGCGCAAAAAATAATGACGAAATCACTTCGGTCAATTTTTTGGTCGGGTCAAAGGTCAGGTCACCAGAGGTCATTGAAGGCAAAATTTCGCCGATTTCCAGGTCGAATGTCGAAAATTTCCAAGAAGCCAACGCATAACACGGGAACCAATAGAGCTACAGCGCCGCGGAAAAGCGCATTCGATAGCCCTATTAACGCCCTTTCTGAGTAATTCTCTCTCAGATTTGACCTAACGTCAACGGTTTTGCCTGCAGGGGGCAAAAACTGCAAAAATAGCCGATTTTTTCGAAAACAGTTTTTCTGCAATAACTTTTGACCCAAGCCTTGTACGAGCTTACTTTTACCGGCATCGTGTTTCTCTCGTCAAGACGCATCGAATGAACTATAACTTGACCTTGAAAGGTCAACTTGAAAATTTGACCTCAGGTCAAGGTCATGACCTGACCGGAAAGGGTCATGTTGCATATCAGTCGATCCGTATCGTCGAGCTGAACACATCTAAGGCGTTTTCATCGCTCTAGCATGCCTCTATCAAAAGTTATTTACGAAAAACTGTTAGATACCATTCGTGACCTAAGATGACCTCAGGGCATAAACAAGGGTCATGGACACCATTTTCAAGTTCAGTGTGTCTAAACCACTTGTAATTCGGTGTTTGGGAGTGTTTATAATGTCTTTCATCCAAAAGAGGCGCATTTCAATTTTCTCCCATTGACTTATAATGGGGAGGTCGCAAAATTGACCTGACCTTAGGTCATCGATATCAAAATTCTGAGATATACATTTTGGACATGCTATTGCTCTTAGCAATCGCTGAAAGTTTCAAAGCGATCGGTCACTCGGTGTAGCTATGACAGACATTGAAAGTTTTTATGAGGTGAGGTCACTGCAAGTGACCTGGTGACCTGACCTTGAATGACCTTGGTCTGAAATTTTTACAACATGTGTAGAATTGATGTATGATAAGGTGTACCAAAAACGGCGGCGGGAGCGCCGCCGTTTTTGAGATATTCGCGAAAAACCACAAGGGTGTTCAAACACCCCCCCCCCCCCCAGCAGGGCGCGGGTTAACGGAGCTGCATTGTGGAAATCGAGCACGAACGACAACATCACTCTGGGGATAGGAGTTTCCCTGGACCTATCGTTGGTAAGGTTTGGACGGTTGAGCATCAGCCCGGTATTTCGGCGTGTGCGTCAGATTCTCTCCTAGGTGCGAGTACAGCATGCAACGTCAGTTGTCTTATCCTGCCTGGGCCTGTCGTAAAATGACAATTCAATTCCTGACGCCGCATTATAGCTGTCTCAGTAGCCCTAGAGCCCTCAGCACCGCCCATGCCCTGTCCACTGTCTACCCGGGACGTCTGGCAAACGGCCGCGTGCCCGTGCACCCATGGTTGGCGTGGACGGGCCACATCGAGGACAGGTAACGGTCCGAAACGGGACAATTCGACAGTGCGATCTTTCATGTCTTTAAGCGTCAGCTCAGTGGCCATATGTTGCTTGTAATCGTCTACGGTACCACCATTCTAAAATGTGTTTTATGTGATCTTGCAAGCGTGCAGTAACTAGGCAGGCAGTGTTTATCAACAGCCTTTCTATGTACAGGGTGGAAAGTAATTACGCGAACATACTTTTTCGTCTTCTAGTAATGAAAAAAACGGCGGTGACATAAACAATATATGTTTTACTTTATCCTTATCTAGTTGCGATGCATTGACATAGGCGTTCCGGCATGATTTACATCAGCATGTGAAGATCTGTTGGCCAAAGCTCAGCCCACACCTTATGGAGCTGTCCAGTGAGGTAATCGGTGTTGGTGGCTCCTTGCAGCTTTTAGACGGTCTCCTGAGGAGTCATCTGGAGATTTTTAATCGAATTGAGGCCCAGGCGTTTCCCAGATCAGCTTTTGTATGTCCTGAAGAAAAACAGGTTCTCACAGCACCAGTATTGCGTTTTGTTGGCCGTGAAAGTAAGGATTTCACCAATCACGAAGAGCAGTTTCTTTGCGTCAGGCACAAAAGTGCGCTCAGTCATTTTGCCCCTTTCGTTGCACGGTGGATTAGACAGAGACACTCGTCTTGGAGGATGTTCCACCGGTTGTATACTTTATTTTTAGTGACCTTTTTTAGCGCTACACGCAATTCTGACACCACCCGGGGGCTCGTGACCCACTGATGTGTTCCTTTGCCGGATGTTTGAAGGTTGGGACGGACGGGACATAGGACGCAACAGCAGCCCTCAGAGCAGTTGTTCTGCAGGTTTGACGGATGAAACAGTTTCACAGATGTCTCACCCAACCACAAATCCAGCTGCCTGTCCTCCTCTGTCCATCTTTGATTGTCTTTGAAAAGCTTCAATTAACAATTCTGCTGTTAATTCGTGAATTTTGGTCATCCCGAGGGTTTGTACGACTTAATTTTCGAATTTTTGCGTATTAATGTGCGAATCGTGATATCTTAGATCGGGTACCCGGCCAGAGTAAGCTATTTTGCCAGTTTTCGGGTCGACTGGCGTCGTTTTGTCGCCGACATGGTGACCACCCGCCCGGCGGCAGAATTCGCCGAGGGGTTGCTGCCGCGGACGGCTTTGCTTTTTAAGTCCTCTCAAGTGTTATTATGTTAAAAAAAACGTATAATTGTGCAATGCTGGTGCTGAGACCACTAAGAATCCCTTCTCCGCCAATCCAGCGAAAATAATCATAAACGCTTTCCCTGGCAGCTCCAAATTGAGCTCTTTGCCCATTTCGGTCTTGTGCAGCGTATGGTGTCTGCACCATTTTAAGTCGAGAGGTGTTTAAGACCTTCCAGGTCATTGTTCAAAGTTGGGTCACTTTTGGTAGATGAGGCGACAACAAACACGACCAATTATGTTCCATGACAGCCCGTACTCATAATAATGCTCCACTGACGGTCAAAATTGTAAGAAAATACATGTTCGCGTAATTACTTTCCACCCTGTACCAAAACACCAAGGATAGCGGATATAGGGGACATCGCATCGTCGTCGGATCTTTGACAGAAAACATGTAAATAGTATATACGTCGATGTCCAAAGTCAGCGGTGCAGTAAGAACATATATTGAATACTGATAACGATGTTAGAGGAGAGAAAGTTCCAAGGATATTGGCTAGCACCTAGTACGACAGCGCATTCAAACGTCAAGAAACCGGCCATTCAGACGGCAGAGCAGCAAAAGAAACTAGACGAATGACCCGAATTGGGCCGGGTCGGTCGGTTCCCCATCCGGGTCCGTTTGTCTGGCGCGATTCTCAGACGCCATAAACCCAGATGAGATGGCCATAGAGCCGTTTGGA